ATTATCCATATGAATTTCAGTTAATTTTGCGAGGAAGCAAAGATGGATTTGCTCCACAAACGTTTTGGAACATGTGCCATGGTCACTCTGGTACAGTAGTTATTATAAAAGTCAAGGGAACTGATGAAATTATTGGAGGTTATAATCCTTTAATGTGGGATAAGAATACTTCTGGTGTTTATAGGGAAACAAAAGATAGGTTCATTTTCTCATTGAAAAATGGTAATGTTCAAAATTCAATTCTTAGTAGAGTAAAGATACCTAAATATGCATTACATTATTATAATAACGTTAATCAAAAATATTATGGCCTTAGTTTTGGAGATAATCTTTATATGTACAGTGCCCAATCTAATTTTGGTAATCATAGCAATTATGAAAACCCATTAGAACAAACGGATATTTTTCAATTATTGGTTATGAAGTTTTCGAATTCAAAAGGAAAACTAATTAGAGAATTTAGTTTTAAAATATTATTACTTATTCATTTATTCATTATATTTTATTACATCGAGATTTTACTTATTCCAATCTATAAATAAATCAAAATTTATATATATCTTTACAAATAATTATATATTTAGAATGTTTTAATGATAATATTAATGCCTTTACATTTTTTTAACTTTGAAAAAAAAAGTATGAGTTATAAGAAAAAAAAAATAGATCAGTATTTAAAGAATTACCCTTGTGCAAAGAACTTTTTATTGTTTTTAAAGAGAGTTGTTATTTAACAAACCAAAAAAAAAAAAAATAAAGTCTACTTAAAAGCAGCACACATGAAAATTGAACTTTATTAAAGAATACAAAAATAAAAAATTAAGAAACTGTTGTATCTGATTTTTCAAAAATTGGTACAGACAGATATGGTCCTATTATTAAGAAAGCAGGATATAGACTTTGAATTTAATTATAATATAATGAATGTTAAATTTCAGTTTTGTTACAAATTAAATTTATGTTTATTTTTTTTTTGATTTATATTTATGTTTGTTTTATGAAAGGATCGCGTCGCGTGCCTACTATTACAATAGCTACGGTATCATTTTTCTAGCTAAATATTTCAACTTTGTGTGAGCTTGTGATAAAGGATTTTTTTAGAGGTAAGATAAATAGGCAATTGTTATCCTTTTCTAAATTTCTTGTTTATTATTAAATTACATTATATAAAAATTATATTATTGATAAAGTGATAATTAATTATAGGAATATTGGGAAAACATTAGATAAAAAAAACATTTGAAAAAAAAAGTGATTTAATGAAAAAAAAAATGAAATGAATGAAATTTATATTAATGAATTGATTTCAAATGCTATATACAATGTGTTGAAAAAATTATCTTAAAAAATCACCCTTCATCAAATTCATTTGCTTTTCTTTATTTAGGTTTACGTTGTGTTGGTTTACATGTCATGTAAATGTAAAAATCATTCAATTTTTATTGGTTAAAGGACATTTTAAATAAATAAAAAAAAAGCAAATGATATTAAATTATTTAATTATTAATATTTAAATTACTTTAATAACTCTAATTATTTAATAATAATTTTAATAATTTAATAAGCTGATATCTCATTGTCAACTGAATCTCTTGATGCTATGGATGAAGTAGAATCAGATTTTTTATGTAAATTCATTTTTATTTCTGCTTCCTTTTGTCTTTGTTGCTGCCTTAGTAATCTATTCCTTGAGAAAGATGTAGATGATGAGGATGCTGATGCACCAGCTTCTACGTGTCCCAAAACAGAAGCCGTTGAAGGATATTGATATTGATGTAGATGAATGTTAATTGTAGAATTTTTACCCAATTTATGAGGGAGTAAAAATGATCCTCCTCTTCCTCCTCCATTTGAATTAGGTTCATAAATTAAACGTGATCGATCATTGTAGCTACTTAATGGTGGTGTACTATTACAGGATGATGCAAGATTCATTTCTGATTCAAATGATCCAGTAGAAGAGTCGGCACTGGTAACTACGGTTTCTGTTTCTGTGGTGGTTGTAATTTCTAATTGCACTGGATCGTCTGAAGGTGTTAAAACCTTTGATAATCTTTTCATAAACGTTTTCTTTCCTTTATCATTATTACGATTTGAGTATATGTCATACATATGTTTATGTATTCCGTTACCCTTTCTATAGTCATAACCTAAACTTTGACTTGAAAATGTACCAGAATTTGATGATCCAGAGCTGAATTTTTCATCTTGATCTGACCATACACTTGTACTGAGTCCATTTCTTAGCATAGGGTATTGTCTCTTGTCCAAAAAAGTACGTACAAACCATTTTAAAATCGGTCTATCCTTTTTAAATCCAAAAGACCGGTCGTTATGATTCATAGGGAAGTTTGGTGTACGTGGCGTACGTGGTGTACGTGGTGAATGTGGTGGTATACGTGGTGAGCGTGGTGAACGTGGTGGTGTACGTGGTGAACGTGGTGAATGAGATGAGAGTGTTGGTGAAGATGGATGTAATAATGTTGGTGAAGATGGAAAATTTGAATTAAAATAAGGACTTCCTGGAGTATTAGGAAAGAATACTTCAGATGGTGATAAAGGTGGACTATTAAGAGAAATCGTGAATGAGTCGCACTTTTCGTAACCATATGTGTCAATAAGATCCTTTTTCACTTTTCTCATAGCATTATGTATAGCAGGATCGAAGAGAAAAGCTATACAATTTAATAATCCTATAAATTAGAAAATTAAAAATATTTAAAAATTAGAAAATTAGCTATATTAAATAAATAAATAAATAAATATTATTATTATTATTATTATTTAACAATTACTAAAATCATACCAGGCAAACAACTTCCAATAATAGCCCAATAATGTAAAGGTTTTGGAGTATTTTTGTGTCCACTAAAAATATGATATGAATATTCGACAATAATTCCGCTAATGTTTATAAGAGGAATTGCAGCATATAAAGAGATACGGCTGACTAATTTTAATAAGAGAATCTTTTGTCTTCGAGCTTTTGCAGTCAAGGTCACACTACTTTGGGTCTGTATTGCCTCAGCTAATTTTCGATGTTCAAAAATTAATTTACACACTACAACCGCCAATACCAATGTACAATAAATCATGGCTAAAGTTATTGGAACCATGAATGTAGCAAATTTCCACCATTCTGAAGCAACAGAACGAGAATCGCGATAAAGACATTGGAAACCTTTTACATCAAAACCAAAACGATTATATATTAATGGTGGTAAATTTATTACTATGGCAGCGATTAAGGCTACAGGAAGATACCATCTGTCTGAGAATGAAGAGACTTTTTTCCGATGAAGAAAAACTACCTATTTATGATTATGTAATGTTAATAGAAAATTCAAATTAAGTTACATTTGACAACTTTTAAAAAAAAAATATTACCTGCAAGTTAAATGCTATCATTACAGTTACGAATAAATATAACTCAGGGAAGAAAGACATTCCCCATCCAATGAATGTACATGTTGATGTATCTTTAGGTTTATACCTTGAATATGCTATCACAACTGCTCCATTAATAATATCGACAAATGAAATCACGGCCGTTAATCTCAGTGAAACTCGATTTACCGATTTTTTATCATAGAGCCACATTGCAATTATTATTATTAGTACTATTAGACCACCAATCATACTTATTATACTTAAATCTGTATTTAATATTCTAAGTCCATTGTCTTGATTTATTTTGTCAAGATCAATATTATAATCAGGGTTATCGGGATAATCTACGTAATCTGTATAGGTGGAATTATAATCTGTTGAATTATAATCTGTGTAAGTTGAATTATAATCTGTATTGGTTGAATTATAATCTGTGTTGGTGGAATTATAATCTGTATTGGTTGAATTAGAACCTACGTAGGTTGAATTAGAATTTACATATGTTGAATTAAAATCTACGTTTGTTGAATTATATGTTGAATTAGTATTTGTCCCATTTATCCCTTGAACGAAAACCATATTTATATATATATATATATAAACATATATATAATCTCGATGTTAGATATTTAAAGCAAATGGATTCCCGGATTCCTATTGAAATATGATTAAAGTTTATTCATACAAAAGGATGATAAATCACTTCCGTTAAGTTAGTTAACGATGAAATGATTGTAATAATTATTGGTTCTTTGTAGTCTCGTGGAGGTATTTTGATGACAAGTCAATAACGTGATCTCTATAATAGGAATATAATGAAGGGAATGACGATATGAAAAAGGTATTAGAGGATGAATCCAAGAGCTTTAAACAGTGCGATATATTGGGGGAGGGAGGGGGGCGCAACTGCAACTAAATATATATAGCCAAGGATTGAGACTGCAAAGAAGGAAAAAAGAAATGAACCAAGAATGTGAGTAGAGACAGTTCTTATATTGATTTTATAATTATTACATATTTTTTGTGTTCAAGAAAAAATAAATTTTCTAATTTGAATCATAATTTTTTACTCTCTTTTCTCTCTTTTTTCTTTATATGGAAATGATGGTTATCAATAATTATTATTAACAAAATATGAATGTATACAACATAATTCTACAATTCCTTAATAAAACTCTATTAATTATATTGCAGCAACGATTTAACTTGATGGCAATTGTAATTTTCATTTAAGATTACACGCATGTTTAGGGTACCTTGAAAAATGTATTGTTAGACTTCTATGAATAGTAATTTAATTTTATTTAATTATATTTAATTTTATTTGTGCATTTTAAATTTATAATTGACAATTCAAGCATTGTAAAAAAACGAGTTTTCCACTGGAAGTATTTCATTCATGGAATTCTTTTAATGCAATCATTATCTTTTTTTTTTAAAAGAAAGAAATTTATTTATTAAACTCGTTGTTTTGAATATCTAAACTGTTTAGGAGAGATATATTTTTAAAAGTTTACATTATAAGAAATATCCGTTTCCAATTGAATTATAAATATAAATTGGGAATCTCGAAAATGATACCCTAAATACACTCTATATGCGTGTAAAATAAAGTTTACTAATTGGGTAAACAATTAGATAATTTCTTTTACGCTATTGTTATATTGTCATCCTTGTCGAACCAATTTGGATTTCTAAGATCATTTGTACACCAGTAAATGATTGCATTCATTAACTCATTCTAGAAGACCGTTATGTAATAATATGTTAATAATATTTTCATATATCAGCACGTTCTCGTGATCTTCTAATAAACAAAGTGCTTTTTAATTAGACCTAACATTAATTGATTTCTTGCAACGCCTTATATGTAGATAAATGAAAATTTATTTGAAATTAATAATTTCATCATTTTATCATTTCGTTATCATAAATTTCCTATTGGTAAAAAAAAATAAAAATGATCACCTTATACTTAAATCAATAAGAAATTCGGGATGAAAAAAAACCGAGCCGAGCACGCATTATTTCATTAATTTTTCATGAGGTTTCCTGTTTTCGCCTGCAGACTAGTGAATTTACATCATTGTTAAAAAGCAAAGTGATAATGAACTTTCAGAACTATTGATAATTACCTTTTTGATTAAGCATATATATATATTCTCTTGGAGGAAATTGTTTTAATAGTTAGAGATAAGAGGCGGGAAACCAAAATCTCAGAAATGGTATCATTGTATAACAGCCGCACAGTTATTATGATCGAAATTTCTGTACGCGAATGTTTTTTCACAATAAATTAAATTTTTATGCGAAAACATTTATCGTTCATACCATGCAAGTAAATTAAGGTCTTCATTGATGTAGGAAATCGAAAATTAAATGATAACTGCCTGCTTTAGAATTTTCAAAATTAATATTAAAGAAAATATTGTTGGCTTATTTGTTTGTATCATTGACATATGTACAATAATATCGTAACCATTTGTTGATAATCTTGTTTACTAAATTTCGCTTTTAAAATAAAATTCTCTAGGTTTTGATTAATATCATTTTTTTTTCTAATGTTACTTCTTCTGAGCTTTTGCTTGTTGAATTGATAAATTTAATTTACATCATTTTCTTTTATAATTTTTGTAATATGAATTAATGAGAGGTTAAAATTAAAAATTAGATTATATTTAAATAATTTTTTTTCTTTTTTAGTTAGAGAAATTTGTCCAATTAACAAAAAATTAAATTAAATTTATTTGAATATAATAAACATCAAGTCTTGCTACAGTAAATAACAGATAATTATTAATGAAAAATAAAGAATTTATAAAATATAGTATGATATAAGCGATGACACCATGTACAACCGCTCCGCTCGATTAACAATACAATATGCAATATTTTTACAAATGACTTTCCTTTTTTTTCTCATCCATTTATTTTTTTATAACTGTATGAATGTTATATAATGATTTATATGGCTAAAAATAATATCCAAAACTGGTGTTTCTAAGGGATAATTCTCCAATCTATACTACAAAAAAATGGTTTGAGACAAAAAAAAAAAAAAAACCAAAAACTGTAGATGAACTCGAGGCTTGCTTTGAGTGAAGATTGATTAAAAATTTAATATATTAATTCTTAGGAAGGTTGTGGACAAAGGGAGAGCAAACAAAGTATTACTTGGTTAAAAAAAAAAAAAAAAACTTTATGTACGTAATATAGAAATAGATATACATAACAGAATTTAAAAAATCGGCCATTACCTTGTACAATATTATATTTTTATGAAAAAAAAAGGGTTTCTATTTGTTGTATATTTTTGTAATATTTTTATTAAAAAGATGTAAAGTTGAAATTCATTGAAACCCTCAAAAAGTATCATTAAAACTTAATAAATAATGTAAGACGTTTAATTAAAATCATGCGTTAAGAAAAATTAAAAATAAAGGGTTATCGCAGATCACTAATCATATGCGAAAAAAAAGTTTAAAAACTTTGTGTTCTGAGTAAGAGCACCAATATCCCTCTTGATCCTTCATTCATTTATTTTTAGAAAGTCTAGATGTTCGTGCAACACTTAATGTTTTGGTTCGTAATAATAGCATATGGAAAAGTCAATTACGATCATTGTTTTGATCAAGATCCCAATTGAAGATTTATAAAAAAAATAACGACTCAAAATTTTATTATGCCAACTATTTTTTAATCTCTAAGTAAAAAGGTTCAGCACAAAATTTTACATCCATTTGTTATTCTTTCATAATACTTTGTTATGTAAATAAAAAGCCCGACTTTTGTTTAAATATTTGACTATATATCATCAAAAACCTGTCAAATCCATCAAACAATTTATTCTATTTCGTTTCTCTAAAGCTCAATATAGTTATTTGCTTTTTTTTTGTTTTTTGTTTTTTGTTATCCAGTTTAGCAATAAAGAATAACTTTGCATATATGCTTCATTCATTTAAGAGTAGAGCGATGACTAAAAATATTTGTGTAACAGGATTGTTGGTCAATTTTCATATGGTTCTTGCAAACAAACATAATAATTATTACCAGTTACCACATATTTTATTGGAAGATCAATAGAGGAGATTGTAATGGTAAACTTTACGAAAGCAGGAAAAATGGAAGAAAGTGAAATCTTTTGATCATTATTATTTCATGTTGTCATACGAGAGAGAGATTTATTATATTAAATTTTGGGTCGGTAACATGTCTTTGTTGAACGAACGTTCAGAAAATTTAACGAAAAATTTTTCACGTGTTAATATTTGGAACTTTGCCATGTGCCATGTGGGAATTTTTATTTTTATGCATTAACATTAAAAAACGATAATACGTAGCATATCCTATAAAACATCATTAATATTCAAGGTGGCTTTGATTCATCCCGTGAGAATTTAAATTATAGTTTGTATTCTTGTATTCTTACGGGAAGATAATCAAAATCAATTACTGATTTCGATAAAAAAAAATAATTATAAATGTGTGTTATCTCGTTTTTCTCGTTTTGATTTTTTCACAAAGTTCCTGAAATAATTTTCAATGATTAATAATAATTTTTTTTTTTTGAAAAAAAAAAAAGTAATAATAATAAAATAACAATAGTAATATAAATTAATTAATATAATTAATATAATTAATATAATTAATATTATAATAAACATGGAACAATTAAATTCGATATCGTTCTTCGGAAGTATGGCACTTTTAGTTTCTTCTATGACTGGACCTGGACTTGTTACAAGTTGGAACTTGTTTCTATATAAAATGATTCAAATCAATTTTTTTATATTACAAATTATATAAATTATATTTAAATTTATTTTATTTTAATTTTTTTTCTTTTCTTCCAGTTCCATTATTATTTCAACAAGCAGGATGGTTCATGTATGTATTACAACTCTTTTTATATGATAATATGTTGATTGAATTTTTTTTTCTTTGATTCAATTATTTTAGACCGATGATAATTTTTGTCATTGCACTTCTTTTGAGTGGTGGTGCATCATTATTTCTCTGTGAAGCCTTGAGCACAATTCCAGGAAACAATCGATTTCAGGTTTGAATATATAATTATATAAATATTTAAATATTTAAATATATAAAATAAATTTAATATTTAAATCAAATAAATTTATTTTCATATATATAGGATAAAATCGAATTTTCTCGTCTTACTTCAATCCTAATTAAGAAAAAACATCATCGCCTAATTGTTCAATTAACTCTTTACATAGCGATTCAATCTTTTATTATATCATCAATTATTATTTCATCTCAAACAATGGATTCATTAATGATTTCATTAGTTGGAAAAACATGTGGAATTGGAATTCATCCCACCACCGGATTTTTTTGTGTCAGAGAACATGGTCCAACAGGAAGTCCTTTTGGAAAAGATTATATGCTTATAACTATTGGATATTTGGTGAGTTCAAAAAAAAAAAAATTGAGAAATTTAATTTTCATAGTTCATCAATTAATCTATAGAATTAATTAATCACGTTTTCATATTTTTAAATAGATTTCTTTAGCAATTGTTATCCCTGCGAGTGTTGTGGAACTTGTTGATAATATTAGAGTTCAAGTTGGTTCGTTATTTAGTTTTTACTCTCTAAATTGTGACAATAATATAAATATAATAATAATAATAATAATAATAATAATAATATTTATTTTTTGTAGTTTCATTAATCATATTATCATTAATTATCATCTCTTGGTTAGTTACATTTATGATTCATGGACTTGATTCAGATCGTGTTCCTTTAGTAGGAACTGATTTTAGTCAAGTAGTTGGGACAGTATTATTTAATTATGCATTTATCGTAATGATTCCAAGTTGGATTAACGACTTGGTATATTTTTTATATTTTTTATTTCAATTTTTATTTTAATTTATTTCAATTTATTTTAATTTCTTCTCATGAATTCTTTATATGGCTATTATTTATAGAATCCAACAGTTTCAATTCGTAAATCAGTATGGTATTCTGTAACAATATCTACATGCGTATATATTTTATTAGGAGTCATTGGAGGAATGGCTTATCAAATGGATTCAAAGTCAAATATTATAGCTATTATTAATAATTCAAGTGAAAGATCAATTATAAGTACTATTACAACTTATCTATTTCCTTTAGCTGTATTGATAGCAAGCATTCCTGTATATGCAATTATTGTTCGTTATAATTTGATCAATAATAATTATTGTGATAAAGGTATGTTCAAATTCTTGGTTGTTGTATTATATTATATATAATTTTATTAATTATATATATAATTTTATTAATTATATATATAATTTTATTATAATTGATATATAATTTATTAATTTTATTTTGTTTTATTTGAATAATTTTAGTTACAGCTACTTTATTGTCAAGCGTTTTACCTTGGGTAATCATAATACCATTCCAAACGGGTTCTTGGTTAAACTCTTTTATGAATTGGACAACTTTAATTTTTTCAACTATTAGCAACTTTATTATTCCATTTTTACTTTATTATATTAGTCAAACAAGGGAACATTTGAAGAGTGATGATGATATTGTACCAAAAGGTATTTTTATTATTTTTTAATTTATTAATTATTATTTTAATATAATTGCTGTAATAATTAGGAATCAAGTAACACGCGTGTGTATTGCATAGAAAAATAATTCTGAATGTCAAAATGCTTACATCATTTTATATAATATTCTTAATATTATAATATTTATAGCTGAAGAACCAATTGAAAAGGTAAAAAATCTTGAAAGAAAATTATCAATGTCAATACTTTCTGATGCACTTTCTATGAAAAGTGTATTTCTCAAAGCATTTTCCGATGATGATAAAATTGTAAATACAAATGATAATAATTATTACAATAATAATAATAACATTAATAATAATAATAATTGGTTGTCATTACCAATTGTCGTAAGTCCACCTTCTCCAGGATTAGAACCAAAGTCAGGTAACAATTTAAGTATTGATGATTTTCATTTATCACCGAGTACCACACCAAGGAGAAGAAGATCAAGGGATTCAAATTTTTCAAGAAGTTCAGGTTTAGATAGTAATGGTGGTGGTGTCGATTTTGTAGTTATCAATACAAGTATTAATACAAAACAAATGGATATACCAATTTATAGTAGTAGTCCTAAAGAATTAGAACCTTCATCAGCAGCATTTTTAACTATTCCAGGAAGTGTGGGGTATGATGTAAGTGGTGATATTGGTTCGATAAATCGTGATAAAGAAAATTCTTCTTCAAGTTCAACAGAATCAGATACAAAAATATTTCCTCCAGGAATACACTTAACAACTTCTCCACCTTTATTAGTTTCACGAACAATTTTCAGTCGTCGAAAATCTCTTTCTTCACCACCAACAATAGTAATAACACCTGCTATTACTATAAATGATATTATTATAAGTAATGAAAATAATAACAACTGCAACAACAACAACTACTACTACAGTAATAATAATAATAATAATAATAATAATAGTTATTTATCAGCAGATCCTCCTTGTGATACTCATAGTTTATCAATTCAATCTGTTCATACCACAAATTCAAATTGTCCCCCATCATCACCTATTATATCAATATATGAAGATATTTATTCTTCTTCAATACAAAAAAGTGGTAATATTAGTTTATGTGAAATAGAAAATGATTCAAATAATTTAGGATTGTATAATAATAGTAAAATAGGTGAAATTTTTAGAGCATTTCCTGGACTACCAACAAGATATGGATTAAAGTTAGCGATCACAAGTGGTTCTACTACAATTATTTTAGTGGGAGGAATTTTATTATATGATTTTATATGTTTAGCTTTTGGAAAAAATGTATTTGAATGATATTTTTTATTTATTTATTTTATTTATTATTTGTTTTATTTATTTATTTATTTAGTTGTTATATGATTTGAATTGGATTTTTGTACATTATTATTTTTTTTGATATTTAGATTTATTAAAGTAGATTATAAGCTCATGTTGATAATTAGTTTGTAAAAAATTATTGTACTTTTTTTTTTAACAGTTAAAATAGATAAATAGATGAGAAAAAGGGAATATAAAATATACTAGAATTATTATAATTATAAAAATTGGTTAAGATGATTTTTTAAAAGTAAATAGAGTAGAATATTTTGTAAAATATGTAAAAATTACTGTATACAATATATTTTACTTGACAGGAAATATAATTTAATATAAATAAACCATTTAGAACTTTAATACACATATTTATATATTTTATATATATACATTGCAATATAATAAATAAAATTAATCTACTGTATAAATTTGATCATTAAGTTTTGTCTACTATATATTCGAAAATGTTTGTTTCCTATAAGAAGATAAAACGATTTCCTGGACTATTTGTTAATATAACAGTAACTTTGAGTCCAAGGAACAATGCCTAGAAATTATAATTTAGAATCCAAACATAACTACGCTATGAGAATGAATTTTTATTTGGAAAGGAAATGATATACATTGTTGAGAATCTGGTATTCCTTTTTTGGCTGATTTTTTATATTGTTTCTCAGCAGATTAAAATAATTAATCTTTACATTTGAAGAAATTATTGAATTCGCTTTATTCGCTTTTCAATTGTATTAAATAATATTGAACTTCTTTTTGGTTGAAATATTATATTATTGCAAACATATTTAAATAATATAATATATATAAATAATATTCTTTTTTTTATATTGTCATAATATTTAAAATAATTAAATTCACCTAATTTTAGTAATTAAAAAAAAATATATCATTAACAATCGAGTGTTCACTTAACTGCTATACTCTTGTTTTTGTTTAGAGGCATATTTACATTATGATATTATACTTTTTTGTTGAATAATTAAAAATAAAGTTTTGGGATTGGGGATATTATATAAAGATTTATTAATCATTAATCATGAAATAATTCCGAATTTATATTTTAGTATGTAATACCAAAAATTTTAGACCTTGTGCGTGCATCACTCATGTGATTGACTCTCACCACAAAATTATTGCACTTCAAAGTTTGTACGAGTCAAAGTTTACGCAATGGTAAGTAATAAATCTTTTATTTCAACCTATTTCAGTTCTATAGTAATTTATATGACGCTTAGAATATTCGGCGGCTTATTTCGCTTTCGTTTTTCATTGAAACAATCAAAAGAATATGGCACAAAAATATCACCTTTTATTTCTGTACTCAATTGTTACATTTTCAATGGTATTCAATATAATTGTAAACAGGCTAATTATACTACAGACTATTCTACGGTACCAATTGAAGCCGTTGATTTTCTTAAATTCGTTAATAATTCACCCTCACCTTTTCATGCGGTTGAGGAAGCTCGTTCACGTTTGGTTGGAGTAGGTTTTGAAGAACTCAAAGAACGTGATAGTTGGACAAGAAGGTTAAAACCTAATGGGAAATATTATTTCACTAGAAACAAAAGTACAATTATAGCTTTTGCTGTAGGTGGTAGGTATACTCCAGGGAATGGATTTTCGATAGTTGGAACTCATACTGACTCTCCTTGTTTAAAGGTAAATTTTTTAAAATTTTTATTATTTTAACATATTAATCTAATTGATTGATTTCCCTTATATTCTATATTTAATTTAGGTTAAACCTGTATCCAAAAAATCTTCCGCTAAATATTTACAGGTTGGGGTGGAAACGTATGGAGGAGGACTTTGGTAAAGTTCACTCTCTTTCCTTTATATCTCTTTTTTGTATCTTTAATTTATATTCTAATCATAGTTAATAATCATTACACTGCATTTTTTACGTTAGGAATACTTGGTTTGATCGTGATCTCAGTGTTGCTGGTCGTGTAATGGTAGAAACCAGCGAAAATAAATTTGAACATAAATTAGTTCATGTTAGAAGACCAATCCTTCGAATTCCCACTTTGGCAATTCATCTTGATCGAAATGTAAATGATGGATTCAAATTCAATAAAGAAACACACTTGACACCTTTAATTGCTACTGCTACAAAAGCGTAAGATATTAAAAATATTGTATTCAGTATATAATTCTATAATATTTACTTTTAAATAATTAATTTTAAAGGTTTGGGGGAGAAAAAAATTCAGATGATAAAGAAAAGAAAGATCAAAATGAAGATTTAAAACATCATTCTTCTTTGTTGAATGTTCTTGCTCATGAACTTGGGATTAAGAGTAATCTGATCACATCAGATCATATCATTAAAAGTTTCTGCTTTTTCTTTAACTTTTTTTTCTAACATCAATCATTTCTAAAAATAAATCTATTAAAGCTGTCAATCAAATTCAAGACTTTGAATTATGTCTCTATGATACTCAAAATGCAACTATCGGAGGAGTATTTAATGAATTTATTTTTTCTGCACGACTTGATAATTTGATGATGTCATATTCTGCCTTGATGGTAAGTTAAATTTTAAATAAATAAGTTACATCTGGTTAATCTAATTGTAAAGTATGTTTTACATTTTTTCCCTTTTTTTAAAAAAAAATAATATAGGGATTGATCGATAGCACAAAGGATATTAATTCTTTAGATGAAGATCACAATATTCGTTTGATAGCACTTTTTGATAATGAAGAGGTTGGAAGTGTTTCTGCTCATGGCGCAGATTCAAAATTAATAGAATCAAGTCTGAGAAGAATAACTTATGGCTTAGATATGGTTTCTCCTGTATGTATATAATATTTATGTAATATTTATATATCATGTATTTTTCATGTATTTGTAAATGTAATTGAAGGAAATTTTTTTCAATAGACTACATTTGAAGAATCCATTCATAAAAGCCTTCTGATCAGTGCTGATATGGCTCATGGTATATTTTTTTAAAAAAATGATAATAATATATTTTATTAATATTTAATTTTTTTTAAAAAAAAATAAATTTTTAATAAAAATTTATTTATTTTAGCTGTTCACCCAAATTACAGGTAAATAATAATTATATATATATATATATATATATATTTATTTATAATAACTAAATTATTAAAATATTTATTTATCAACAAATTTAATAGTGAGAAATATGAAGAGAATCATAAACCACAAATGCATAAAGGAGTTGTAATCAAGATTAATGCTAATCAGGTAATAATAAAATAAAAAAATATTATGAATAGTAAATATTCTTTTAAATATTAAATCTGTTAATTAATTAATTAATATTAATCATATCTCAAATTATAGCGTTATGCGACTACCGCAGCAACTACTCTTATATTACGACAAGCTGCAAAAAAATATAATGTTCCATTACAAGAATTTTGTGTGAGAGCAGATAGTCCATGTGGTTCTACTATTGGTCCAATGATAAGTGCTAATCTCGGATTACGTACTGTTGGTAAATATCAATTATATATAATTTATTGTTATATTAATACTCTCTTTAATAACTTTAATAAGAAGAGAAAAAATAATAATAATTGTTTATTTATTTTTAGATGTTGGAAATCCTCAATTAAGTATGCACTCTATTCGTGAAATAGCTGGTACAGATGATGTTGGATATGCCATTAAATTATTTCAGGTAAATTAATTTATATATAATTCATATAATATCTCTCTCTATAATATATGTATGTAAGATATTTTTGATATTTAAAAAAATTTATAATTTTATATAATTTTATATAGGGTTTTTTTGAAGAATTTGCTAAAATTGATTCAAATGTTACTGTTGATTGATTGATTATTTGAAATTACCATACAGAAAAAATTTGTATTTTGAAATTTTATTACCTTTTATTAATTTAAATAAATAAATTATCTATTGTTATTATATCAAATATATATATTTTTTATTATAAAATGTTATTCATATTCATGACTTAAAAAAAGTTTTTTCATATAAAATAATAGGTGTTTCTCAGTTTAATTTCTAATTTATTTCTTAAACGATCTCAACTTTCACATCAAAAAAAAAAGGAAATAGATTAGAAATTATATTGTTCCCCCATACAACACAAAAAACAAGAAACACCTATGCACCTTGAAATACTCGCGTACGTGTCGAATTGGCACGTGACATGTTAGCTTGAAGTAAATTAGATTGGTAAATTTATGAGAATGGAATGATATTTAATCAAATAATAATAATAGAAGAATGATAAACAAAGGAAAGACAATAAATTAAAGGTCATATCAATTAATAAGCTAATCAATGAAAGAATCCATTCAAAATTTAACTATCAAAACATGAATTCACTTTGGGAGACAAGACAATTGTAATTATAAAAATCGATTAAAAAAAATGATAGAAATTAAAACATCAAAATTAAAATAAAGAAAAAAAAGAATTATAAATTAGACAATAAAATAAGAATCAAAAATAAACACAAGAAAACTAAAACAAATCAAGAGTGAACTGTATTTGGTCAATACTTAAAATATATATATATATTATCTATACTTAAATAAAAAAAATTATTATAATTAACTAATATAACTAATATAACTAATATTATACTAATCAATGATTTGAAATAGGTTTGTAAATAAAAAATGTTGGAATTTCAATTTCACCTATACAAAATTTAAAAGATCACTGGTCGAATGATCAAAAATCGGCAAATTGTTATATATATTGTGTGACCTTCATACTGTGTAATTATGCCTTGATAATTATATTTGGTTCTAAATAAATATGGCTATTCCTACTAATTATCGATAAGAAAAATATGCCGTTACTTAAACCTTTTATAATATCCGTCCGTAGAATTTTGTGAAACATGCATTTTCACATCATCGTTTACGGAATAATTATTTGATCTGCAATTGTCTAATTCTTGATCGCATGATTTTATAAATATCAGACACCTCGCAACTGATCACTTTTCTTATCCACGCCTCAATATTACGAATCACGTAATTGCTATAATCAATAAGGTAAGTAGTACATATGCGGATAATGGTGGCGTTAAACCACTTGCCACAATAGGAATTGCTTCTATCCCTCCCATCGAAATCTGAGGATGTGATTTATTCAGAGAGGAGATATGGTTTCCCTGTTGTGCAAGGTATGGGATCGTATACTCTAGAGTACTTTGTGCTCCGTGAAGCGTCTCAGTATCGACTTTTGGGAATTCGGGGTGATCTCGTCATCAGTATCGATTTTTTTGTTCTCTTCTATATTTTTTCTACGTACTAGATATTAACTGAGATTATCAGAAATTGATATTTTTTTTTTCGTCACCTCCCTCAATTACAGGTTCCAAGATAGTCTCTGATTTCAGACGCTCCAGCTCACTAACCTTTGAGAACAATTCACTCCTTGTCTGCTCCAATTTAGATTTAAGAGACTAGATTTCTGAATCTTTTTTTTTGATGAATCCTTCTGAACTAAAAATGCACCTTTCCAAGCTGAATCTAACTTATCTTCCAATATCTTAATAATAGCCTGGAGTGAATCTATTTCTATCACTTGAGCATTATATATTCATCGTGGGAAATCTGTGATCGGGTAATCAGGGATGTAAGATTGGTATTGTCTACTTTCAATCGTTGGACCTCATTAATAAGTTGTATAGCATCAGTACGAATTTGTTGAGTATCTGTATTAGCCCAATTCAAATCCCGATCTCACTTCCCTTTTTCTAGAGTTCATGTCTTTCTTTCATCTTGTAATTTCTCGATTTCATTATTATTTTGTGTTAATTCATGGTCCGTCTCTTCTCTTTATAGGGACCATATCTTTCTTTCCCATTATAGAAACACAAGGAGAGCGACACGAAAAATATATAATTTCTTTCATAAGGCTAATCCAAATAATTTTATTAAACAGCAAGAGCGAGATCAACTCAAGAAAGAATTATGCAAAGAAAATGACATTTATCTATTTTATATTTGGTATAATGACAAAGAATCTCAAGAGACTATTTGAAAGAACTTTATAATTTAGGGCTTATATGAATATGCTTTATTGAATTTTGCTTGCATAATATACTACAATTGTCACGCAGATCACTTTTTCCAAGAAAAATTCAAATGTAATTATTTTCGCCCAAATGGATAAGCAGTCATACAAACATAAATATATGAAAAGTTATATAGTTGTAAGGCAGACATGGATATGTTATTTTACAGAAATAAGCCTCTAATCAATCTTCTTTATATTGTCTCCAAAGCACTACATTGACTGCAAGCTGAATTGGAGATGGGGTTCTTTGGTATAAAGAAATTGAGTGGATGAAGTTCACTTTACGAAATCTTTATTATTTTAGTAAATTAATTTCCATACATTAAAGCTATTTCTTAAGTAAAATTAACAAGTAAGTATGTAGTAAAAAATGTGAATTAATTCAACCTTAATTAATATAAAAGTAAAGCAATTTAGAACCCGAGTACTCAATAAGTATAATCTTATAAACAAGAATTTGCCGCTGCCATCACGTCATTTTAATTTTTATGACCCATTGTTCTACATTACTGAGGATAAGGGACTTATAGTTAACTGCCTGAAAGGCTTCGAGATTGTTTCCAATTTTTTTCTTGAGCATTATGTAACTTTGATATTTGAAGGTATATATATCATCTGGCACGATAAAATATATGAACTATTTTGATCAATTCGCTTTGTTTAACAAGGTGTTTTTGAAATACAGTAACTTGAAAGATACAGTTTAGTGTAAAAATTAGATCTACCACACCAAAATTTCTTATAGTTGGCCTATTTACTATCTTCCAGTATTTTCTGAATTTTATCAAAAATATGACCAGAGGCCCACGAGAAGGATTGCTCTCGGTAGAAAGTGTCTGGCCACTGATGAATAAGGTGAATTCAACATACTGGGCATTTATAGAGAAACACTGTATAAACTTGAAATCACTGATTTCTGAAAGGGCTTCTTTTACACATTCTAAAGATCTTTTCTTAATCACATCCCAATTATTGAGAACGAATGGTTGATCCTCGAAATTGGGACTTTCCTGACAAATAATGTATGCTGGTATCTGAAGAACATATCTTGGCACACCACCCAATTCATCACTAAGGTCAAGCATCAAATCTTGTGGTATCACCGGGAATGCACTTAATCGACAAGCTTCCAACTCTTCTATTGACCATAGTGGCATGCAAAATTTATTCATAAGATTTTTAATAAACTCTTTAAATCCTCTGTCTTTGATACGTTTTGATGATGCAGAAACAACTGTTCTTTCTAAGACATCCTTGGGAACTGTATCATCTACTAAGTACCATGTTTTAGAGTTATAGAGTTGCTCCGAAAATTCTTCAAATTTTCCAACAAAGAGATTAGAATCCGTGAAACAGTATAATAAATTGCCGTCGGCTGGCCGAAAAACATCGGTTTTATTGCACAAAAGTCGGATTAATAGATAAATCAGGAAACACGATTTACCAACACCTGACGTGCCAGATATAAGGAACATGGGTCGCAATTCTCATTGGTAACTATGTGATATAGATCCGTATAAGATTCCCGTACATATAGTATATGTTCCTTAATTGCTGCAAGCGGTTTTCCATCAGGGTGCTGGATTAAATTCGCATTAATTGAAGTTGACTCTTCCTGCTCCTCCTCCATGATGTTATCTCGTAAACTTTCCGGGAGTGCTTTCCTGAGACTAAGGGCCACTTCCAATATGTTTGTAAACATTGGATCTGAAAGCGTAAATTAAAGAAGTTGTTAGTTCACAGATTATTAAGTATCCTAGTCTGTAAAAAATTTCGATGGCGAAACTTACTTCCTAATTTTTGTCTCTTAGCAGATCTATCTGGATCGACGTGAATGAAATGAAATAATAAGATAACGAGAAAAACAGCGTAGGTTTGGAAGAGGGGAAAATCACCAATCAGATCGTCACGATCGACCGGAATCTGCATCCACAAGATCAAAGTCATTTTTTTTTTCTGCCTTGATAACTTTCTTTAACTCACCAATAGATTCATCCCTACTAATCTTAACTGAGAAAGCGTGCTTTTTTGCTGGTAAGTTTCCTTGAACAAGACAAAAAAGCGTGATAGACATTGCGACTTGTAGAATAAGAGGTGCGAAAAAAAATTTTTGCGTGGAAGATTAATTAATAATTGATATCTTAACCTATAACACAATTAATTAATAATTGATTAGCGAAAAGTTATGAAATATTAAAATAGATCTAAATATTACTTACTCCCTGAGATAAATTATAATGCAATTAACTAATAATTTATTGGTGAAATTATTATTTCAAATAAATATTAAAGTAATGATTTTAATTTTAAATAATACTCAACCTGTAAAAAATATAATGTGAATAATTAATAATAATTTATTAGCAAAATATATATTCAATTAATAGTTAATTGCTTAATGTCCAACACTGATAATTATTGTCATATTCAAAAGCATCCCATCCTTATATGTTAACAGTTTGATATTGATTTAATACATTTTTGTAATATTATGTACAATCGAAATGAAATTCAAAAAGTCTCAAAATAACACAGGCGAGTTTTAAAAATTTTTATATTTTACATCGCATCATATCATATATCAACAAATAAATAGGAAGAATGTATAATGAAAAAAATTAATATTTATTCAAACGTAAATCTATTTAAATTTTAAAACTATTAAAGTTTTTTGATACAATAAGTCATCATTGCAGAATTCTAAACTTCAATTTTTCCGTGGTGTTGAAATGCGAGAATCAAATTAAAGAGAATATATAAAATTATCCGAGGTTTTTTATTTCTATTTCAGCAGGATTTTTTGTGGTATTCCAAATTCCCTGCATAAATTATGTATATCTTATAACGTGATTGCAGTAAAAGAGAATAAATATTGGTTTAATGAATATCCATATAACGCATGCCAGAAACTTTATCATTTTTCATAATCAAAAATACGCGAAAAACAATATATGCAGAAATGAAATATAACAAATAAAAATTTATATATAAATTTAATTATATGAAAAAAAAAGTGTTTTCCGAGGTAGCTACACATATGTCAAAATTATTGAAACTTTTATTTGGCATAGAAATAGTGCACACTGAATTATTTTCCATGAACGAAAGCATTTAAAGCTTTATTTTTATTCAATGCTCTGGAATGACTTCTTCACATAATACTTTCTTGAGTTGATCTCGCGCTTGTTATAGTTAATAAAAAAGAAATAAATTACAAATTACATTAAATAATATAAATTAATTAATCTCAGAAATTTCTCAATTTTCTCAGTTTAGGTAAGCATCACATGATGCTATTTTAACCAATCATAATTCAAGAAAATATATTCATGTGATTTATAAATATTTTATTTCAAAGATCAATAAGATCAACCAAACAAAATTCTTCCATCCATGTCACAAGCAAGTGTCTCAATTTTTGTAGTAGCATATAATAACTCGGGCAAAAATAAAATTAAAAAAATTTTAACCGATAATTTTGAAAGCTGTGATAAAGATCTATCGAAATTATCGGTTATAATTTTTAAATATTTATGATCAATCATGTGCTATAATGGTTTAAAAAAAATCCATTTTAAGAGGTTCCGCATTGTAGTATTTATTATTTCTAATATTTATTGTTTTATTATTTCAAGAACATATTATTTATATTATTTCTAATATTTATTATTTCTAGTTATTTAATATTTCTAATAATTATTACTTCTAGCACTTAATTAATTTTAGTACTTATTTTTTCTATCTTAGGCGGTTTCCACCTTAAAATTACATTTTGTAATGATACATCTCCTCCCTTTTTCATTGATTCTCTCAATTGTGCAATTGTTCTAGTAAAAGTACTTAATACTCTAGAACATCCGCTAGGACCACTAATAAAATAATTTGAATGTACACAAACTAATTTATCTAAAATTCCTTGTAAACCTGCACCTAAAAATTCCTCATCATGCATTCCGTCTTCTCGAAGTTTTTTTAATCCATCAAGTGATACCCAAGTATTAAAATTTATATTTTCCTTTAATATTTTCATTGCTGATTTATGATATTCTGTAAGATCTCTAAATGTTGACGATTGTGATGAATTAGCTAATAATGGATAATCCGTAGCTAAATATACATTTTTTATATCAGTTACATTAAATAATAATTTTATAGTTTCAACTAAATTTTTTGCACATTGTGGTAATAATTCAGGAATTGCTTGCTCCATTCGCCAATGAATTGCAATATATTTAGGAAGTAATTTTTTTCTAATCTTATATGATTCTTTTATTATATGATCTGCATATGGTATTATTGGCATAACTTTTGGAAATAAAGGTTCACCAATTTTATGCTTAATTAACATAATATCTGAATCGGTATCAAATGATTTTATCAAAAATTGTGAAAATTTTTTTCTAGCTTCCGGGCGCTTTACATCTTTACCACTCATATTTAAATATTGAAAGGTTATCTTTTCTAATGTTTTCTTATCTGTTAAATCTAAACCTTTTACTAGATTAAAACATCCTTGTTCTATAAATGATTGTATATTTGGGTTTACTTCATGATAAAGGATAGATTTTTTATGATTACCATTAAGAAACATTTGATAATGATCAATTGTAAGTTGTAAAGGTATTTTTTCGGCATCCGGTGGAACATTAACAAGATTCCTCTCTTCTACCCAATTAAGAAATTTCGATTGTTCAATAAATTTTACATTGGGAAATTCTTCTTTTAATTTTTTGACATTATAATAAAAATCAAAAGTGAAAGGTTTACAAGCTTCTATACGTGAATGTCCAACATTGGTTAAAACCATAGTACGATTTAGTGCTTCGGAAAGTTGAGTAAAAGAACGGAAATGTAGATTGGCTTTGGTTTCTTGTTCTCCATGTAAATAAACATATAAAAATTTACATATTGGTTTTCCACAATATTTTTGATTTATACGAATAATTTGTTCTTCTATCGAGGAGTTATTTGAATTAATAACTTCTAGTTCTTCTTCTTCTTCTTCTTCTTCTATGATATTATTATTTGTAGTATTGTTTTTGGGATCGTTTGAAATGGGGACTTCCAGTTCTTCATCTTCTATAATAACTTTCGTGGTGGTGTCGTTTGTGGTGGTATCGTTTATGATGCTGTTGTTTGTGATGTTGTTGTCTGTGGTGATGTCGTCTGTGGTGATGTCGTCTGTGGTGATGTCGTCTGTGGTGTTGTTGTTGTCTGTGGTGTTTGTGGAGACATCATTCGTGGTATCGTTAGTAATAGGTACTTCGATGATGTCATATGTAGTAGGGGTTTCGATATAATCATGTGATAGAGATATCTGTGTGTTCTAATTATGAGTTCGTTCATTCAAAATAAGAATATTATATTATTATTATCATTACCGTCATCATTGATGAATAATGAAGGAAAAAATAATTACGAATAATTTAAAATTTTTGCTTACAATAATATACCATAATATTGAAAAAATCCCGAGTAAAATTATAAATCTACTTGGAAATTGGCGTAATTGAAGGATTTGAAATTTCCTCGAGACTGTCATATTTTATAAATAATGTAATGTTAAATGAAAAAGAGAGTATAAAGAAAATGAAGAACCTTTACCGTTTTTAAATTAATAATAAATGAAATTATAACACAAGAATAAAATTTATACCAATGAAAACCGATAACCCGATTTATTTTTTTTTTAATGCGTCAAACGTAAGTCAGCATATTTTATTACCATACCATATTTATTAATGTTTGAAATTCGTTACATATTACCAGAAAAGGTTAAAAGAAAAAAGCGAACTTCTATTGATTTATTTTTTAACCTAAATTTGGGCTTGTTGAATCTTTGTTTGTTCATTTTCTAGTTCTCTTAACAATTTATATCTAGCAGCACAGGAAGGGCAATGACTTATCCCTTCTATCTTTTTGTCAATTAGATAAAAACCACCGCTTTGTGCTCTTAATTTTCTTTGAGCCTTTTCCTGACAAAAATAGCATATGTTGGGGAAAACCTCTTTGATGGTTTCCAACTCCTTGCCTTCTTTAAGTACTTCATACTTATCAAAACAAAACTCACAAGTAGATAAAAGAGTTTGGTTTTCTCGGAGAGGAAAATGAATGCTTTCAATTATTTGATCGCAGAAAAGGCAACGGCGATTAAAAACTTTTTTTAAAGTTGCTAATTTACTTTCAAATTCTTGTTTATTTGCCATAATATTTTATTTTTATAACCGCGCCAGTATTTAATTTCTATTTTGTCTTTCAAAGGAAAATCTTTTAGATTGGTGAGATTAGAAGATAAATTACAACAAAAATGATTATCTAATTACATAAAAGATTGTCGATCTATTTTTATTTTATCCTCTATTTTAGTTAGAGGAAATCAGAGAATCAGCACACCCATTTTTGCCAATTAAAACTTTTTACTGCAATGATAATAAAAAGGATATTGATGTAATAATAAAAAATAATAATAATAAACACTATAAATCTATTTATTCTTTAAATTTTTTACTCAATAATAAAAAAAATATATATAAAATAAAATGTATCAATACAAAAATATAATCATTAAAAAAAAAGAGATATGTGCATATATATAAAATTTCGGTAGACTCTAAATAAAATACATATATTTAAAAATCACGCTTACATCACATACTTATATATATATATATATATATTATTATTAGACAGCAGAAACAATCTATAAATTTTGCAAAAAAAATAAAGAATAAAAAATAAAAAGGTTAAGAATGTTAAAATATTAAAAGTAAAGAATTTATTCTGTAAAATAATTTACCTCATCAGCTTTCTGTAAAGCTTCAATCATTTTCTTACACTCTTTTCGTCTTTGTTGAGTATATTCACTTTCTTTAAGTAATTCATCCAAAACTTCGGCTTTGTAAAGTTCTTGTAACAATTCACGTTGAAGTTCTTCTTTAGCGTGTGATACAAGAGAAAGCATAATTGCTTTGGGAACCATATCAATGACGGTCCGTTTTACAATATTAAAATACGATTGAATAAGTAATTCTGTAAAAGTTAAAAAGAAGAATAATAATAATAATAATTAGCATTAAATTCATTAAATTTTACGGAATATAATTTAATTACTAACTTATCACTTCAGTTTCCGCATATTCTCGTTCAGATAAATTTCCTGTTGCTTTTAATACTTGAGGTGGCTAAGAAATACATTTATTATTAGCTAATATAGCACGATGTATAACTTTATAAATATTTTTAATCTAATATTATTATACCGGTTCCATGACTCCAGGTTTCTTCGATTTTTTAGCCGAAAAGAAACTTCCAAAAAATCCTGTATTGTTTCCTTCATTATTATCAATTGCTGCAGAATTACTAATCAGATTAGTAATACTTGCTCGTGCTGGTTTATCTGATGATGAACTATTTTTCTGTTGATTCTGTGGAGGTGGTGGTGGATTAAGTTTATCATTGACAATACTCATGGCTTTATGTCCATTCAAAAAATCTGGATGTCCTGTATTGATATAACATGATTCCATGCTAAAATAATTATTTTCAGTAAATATTTCAGTAATAAATATTTTTTTATTAATAAATATATTTTTGATAGTAAATTATTTCAGTAAAGTTTTTTGTAAGTATTATTATTATTATCTACCTGACAAGGTCTTGTACAAGTTTATTTGTAGGTACCAAGGACTTTTTGAAAAAAACGACTACTACAGAGTAGAACTTTTCTTTTAATCCTGGGAACCTTTTGAACAACTAAAATATATAAATTGTTAGAAAAATAATAAATTGGATATTTTGGATTAAGATTTCAAAATGTCATAAATGTCATAAAATACTTACTTGTTTTGTTAATAACGTTGTTAGAATACGAACAAGTTCATCATATACTAACGAAACACATTTTAAACTAGGTTCTTCTAAACGTTTAATTTGTTGCTTAACGATCACTTCAAATGCAGTAGTAGGTACAAAAAGAGCTGGAGATGATCCCTATAATATATATATATATATATTTTAATTAGATCTAAAAAAAAAAACAACGTCAATAACGCGGGAAGATATGAAGAAACAACTACCGAAGAATTATATAATATCGTTCGAATATCAACATCTTTCACTTGGTCAAATGGATCTATGGATTTTACACCATGTGAAAATACTTCGTGGAAAACGTAGCTAATACGTGCACCTCCAGATAATTCAAATGTAGAGAGCTCATTCGAACTACCGTCAACAATGGTGCGGAATTCGGTGCAAAATTCCGTGATAATATTTAGAACAATATTGGCATGATTATTACCATCATCTAAAGGATCACCAAGTGATTGCAATTCTGCCTGATATTTTTGAAGAACGACTTGGATTTTAGATTTAATCTCGGGAAGTGTGTTACGAATATGATGCATAAGGATCTAAATATTATTATTATTATTATTGTTATTATTTAAATATTATTAAGTATCGTGAATTATGCATCTTAACTTTTAAAGAATGCTTTACTTTTAAATCAACATATTTTCTGAAAATTATACCATGTTCAACTTCCGTGCAAGAAATGGCGTACCACAATATTGTGCTTTACTCTTGTAAGATGGATGATTTTCAAAGAATTGACGCTCATTCTCGAGAGCTACATTAATTGCCTTTCTATTCTCGATATCCTTTTGTCCACGATTCACCACGGGTACATAACCTGTATACAAAAAATAATAATAAATAAATAAATATAATTAATATATGTACAAATATAACACGCTAAAAAAAAAAAAACTGACTGTATGTTTACCAAGTCTCAAAGGAATGATTCGTCCAGCCAAAATATCTACAACATCTGTTCCTTGATCCCTAAATTGTGATTTTTAAATAGTGAAACATTTATAAATAACGTCAAAATTCGCATTGATTTAAAACCCACAGTTTTTATTTTATTTTTTTTTAGTTTTTTTACTCACATGAGATCAATTTTCGTAAGAACACCAATAGTTCGTGATCCTAAAAATTAACGAAATGTTCAATATTATAATTAATAAAAAAAATTCTATCCATTAATATGGAACCAAAACCTTTATTAATAATAACCTTCCGGATCGACTTCGCGAGCTAATTTTAGCCCGTCAGAATTTGCTAAATCAGTATTGGCAGCCGTTACCGCGAGAATAATTGCGTTTGGTTTAGTAATATATTTTAAAATCATATCTTTAATCTGTTTTTCGATATCCTTTGGTTGATCTCCAACTGGAACCTGAGAAAATATAAATTTTAAATCCATTAATTATTCTTCTGTTTATCTTTACATATCTATCTATTACTTATTTTGTTTTACATATATAATGAATATCTATTAAATAATTATTATATATAGAGATATTATATACCTTTGTGAGACCAGGCAAGTCAACAAGAGTTAAAGTGAGAACATGAGGGGAAAACACTCTTAAGTTGATAGGTGAAGGAGAGATACCTATTCAAAAAAAAAAAGTATATTATTAAATAATTATAAAAAGACAAAAAGACAAAAAGACATGTAGCAGACCTGCATTCTTTCCCGTCTTTGATTCAGTCTCCTTTACAATTTCTTCACGAATCTTATTAAAGTCCGAAAATTTTACACCAGGAATGTGTAAAAATTCTCCCCATTCATCCGGTTCATCATTTAATTCTTTGGTAGGACTTTCCGGTTCTTTCGTTTCTTAATTTACATTAATTATAAGAATAAATTTTCAAATGATATTTTGTTCCAAAAAAAAAAAAAAAAATCACTCACCTTCTTTTACAATTACATCAGCTTTTGCATTTTGGGATGGTCGATTTATAAGCTGCAATACCTAATAAAGATAATTAAATCAATTAGAATTATTAAAATCGTCAATCTTTGCATTCAAAATCATCCAATCATTTATTTGTATCAAATCTAACGCGTTCAATTATAATTAAAGCATTTTCTAAAACCAAAATTCGATCCTAAAAATTCATAAAATACATAAAATAAGAAGGATGAAAATTGACACGAACCAAAGGTCTTCGAGTTACAATGCCCGTTCCTCTTGGCAAAAAGTCACGTCCCACAATATTTTCTAGTACAGAACTTTTACCACTCGATTGAGAACCTATTACTACAATCTGAGGCAAATCAACAGGATTTTGAACTCCGACGGTCGAAAAAGCATCCTGAAGTTTATTAACTAAAAATTAATCAATATTTACAATATTAATGATGGAATCTGTAACCTTATTATTCGTATGCATTCAAAGACGAACCTGTTTTAATTAGTGATGCGTCCATTATTACAAATATAGTTCTATAGAAGAATTAAGCAAAAAAATGACTTTTGTTTCGGAATCTTGCAGCCAATAATATTTTATCACATTCTGCGGCACAATATTCTGATCTTTGATCTTTTGGTTATCGTCACGCCAAATCAGGTAAAATTTGATTTTACGCCTAGCTCGAATTATTTAATTATTTTTTAATTATTTAAAATTTAATTGTTTCATTGTTTGACCTCTAATTTCTTCCTATAATTATATATACATACATATATATATATATATATTTTGAATATAAAGAGTTAGATACAAATTAGATACAATTGAGATTAGAGGAGGTACTTTTGAATTTCTGGGAATTATCTAATTATAGAAATTATAGAAATTATAGTCTTTGAAATTTAGTATATTTTAAAAATTAATTCTTTTGGTTAATGTTGCATTATGTTGAATTCTAAAAATGGCAAAAGAATCCGTGGTAAAAAAAAAAATTTAGTGATACAGAGTTGTCGACTCAAATATTGGGTCGAACAAAAACGTGTGAATAATGAGAAATACCCCGAATGGATTTGAAGGATGTTGTTAGATTTTCAGGATAATTTTATGGGAAATTAAAAAATTAAATTTTTTTTTTTAAAGTTTTTGGTGTCAGGAAAATATCCATTTAACGAATTATAAAATTTAATCGCAATTAATTGATAAAAATTTTGATTTTAAATTTTTTGAATTTTTTTGAATTCTTTATATTTTTTTTATATTTGTTAATTATTTGAGATCATTCCAATGTTGCATTTCATATGTTGCATTTAATTACTAGCTTCCGTTATTTTACTTAAAGAAGTTGAATTCACGTGAAAAAATAATATGTTAACTGAATTTAAATAATGTATTGGATTTCCTTATTTATTTTATAAATTACGTAACATAATATACACGCTTTAAATATTGAGTGAGTGACGACGACAATTAGCATAATCAATTTAAAGTAAAATAAACTTTTATCATATACATTAAAAAAAAAAAAGAAGCATCAGGTTATCTGGAAAACCCTTTTTTTTGTTTTTTTTTTTTTTTTTTTTTTTTTTTTGTTGGCAATCATCATTTAGGGAATCCCATAAACCTAATTTTCACCCTCGAAATAAAAGGGACGGTCAATCCCCACTTTTGAAAATTTTCGTCCTCCCTCTTTCCATCGAATTTCATTGAATTTTGAATCTGTCTTCACAAAAATCCAGCGCAAATTTTATTTTAACAATAAAATTAAACACCATGGAAGGAAATTCTCCACGTATTTACACGAAACTTGACAAGCAAACCAATGCTCAAGGTAACTTGAATTTAATCAAGAAAAAACAATAAAAACAATAATAATAATAAATTTACGATTTTTAACATTTAATACATTTAATACATTTAATAAATTTAATACATTTAATAAATTTAATATGCTTTTCTTTTAACAATTTAGATATAATTAGAACAAATGATTATCCATATACGCCTAGCGAAAACGGGGATCAATATTTCAATAACAATAAGAGATTAAGTCGTTGGCGAATTTCAGAAGCACCTCAAGAAATTTTAAACATGATTGCTTCCTCTACCTCTGTACCACCTACCAAAATTCCTAATATGCCAGTTACCAACATTCAAAATATTCCAACTCCCAACATTCACAGTATGCCAGTTACTCCCAGTTACTTTTCTCAACCATCCAACGAATCTATCGAATCCAACGAATTCACCGTCCCTCTTATCTCCGCCTCTTCAAGCTTTTCATTATCCTCTTCATCAAAATCATCAAAATCATCAAAATCAGATCTATCGTCTAACCGAAAACGACATCGAAAAAACCCATATCCCGTCCGCAGCCCTGACAATGAAGGTAATTCAATGGTTGGCCATATCATGATTTATGAAATGTATCAACAAGATCCCCAACTTCTTCGTAACACTCTCCAAGAGTCTAAGGGAAAGTCACTCAAACCCTTTAAACCAATCAAATCGGCCAATAATAACAACAACAATAACAACAACAATAACAATAACAATAATAATAAAAAGAAACCAATAGCAACGAAAATCGATAAGAAACAACCACCACCTCCATTAATTCCCTTTGAAGAATTAATGACAAAAATTCAAAGTCTCGGTCTACAATTCGATGTTCTTGACGTGATAGATCGACCTAACATTACTTGGAAGGGTTCGGAAATAAATGTTGAATCCTTCCCACATTATGAGGTATTACATAAGGCTGAGGCGAAGGCCTGCGGTATCCTTCGCCTCATGCCAGATGTATACTTAAATGCAAAATTTTTAATTCTTGCTGCGGCCAAAGGGTATAAAGAAAGAAATATCCCATTTAGAAAGGTAGACGCCCAGAAACTTGTAAGAATTGACGTAAATAAGGCCTGCAAATTATGGGAATTTTTCAAGCAGGCGGATTGGATCTAATGGACGAGGGAATCTATAAAAAATTTATTTTGTTAGATTTGAATAATTTTTTTTTTTTTAGATTTTAACATTTTTTTTAGATTTTAGTAATTTTAGTATATCTTTTTTTTCCTGGTATTTTAGATACAATTCAAATTTGTAACAAAAATTAATTTTCTTTTAAATTTGGTTTTTTTTTTTAAAAAAAAAACTTCAAAAAATGTACAGTAAAATTCTTTAGTGCAAGTGGTAATGTACATAGTAATATACATAATAAATAATCAATATAATCTCTTTTATATCAATGTAAATATTATCCTAATATCGAAAAATTCATCGTGCAAGTACTGTTACACTTGATACAAACAAAGAAATAATTTATGAAACAAGTATATATGCTCATGAATGAATGTGCAATAAAATAAATAAAACAAATAAAACATTATAACAAGCCAATTAATCATTGTACAGTGACACGACTATTACACATATAAATTTCTTTTTTTTTAATTTTAAGCGAATGTTTTTAACGTTTTTAAATCAGGTGATCAGGTGCATATATTCATATATTGTAGAAAAAATTTATGTAAATATGTACTCAATGTTACTAATTGTATTATCATTTCTCACTTTGGGGTTTTTCAGTGGGTAAAGAAGGCTCTATGTACCAAAAATTATCAAATTTATATTATTAATTAATCAATTCAAGATTTAATCTGGACAATTTAACTTATGAGATATAAAGAATAACAAAGCAAAGATTATGATAATCTCCAACTTTGAATAATAATAACGTGAACAAAGTATAAGAAAAAAAAAAAAAAAATCATTTTTGATTTCTTTAATAGTCGAATAAAGATAATCTCTTTTTAAGATATGCATTAACCTGAAATGTTAAATGCAATTAAAGGCACGTGAAATGCAATCGAGAACGTTTATGTAAGTCAGTTGTGCAATCTAAGTAAGATCAGATGCGTTATGCAGATCTTGCATTTCTTTATATTTATACTTCATGGAATACTTTAATACTGTTTCTTTACCACTATTATTATTATTACCATTACCATTTACCAGCAATCTAGAGTGAGCTTATTACTTCACTTTTAACAGTTTTACCAGTTTTAAGCTTACTCTAATATAAATAATGTCATTATATTCACCGATTAATACCGAAGAAGAAGAAGAAGAAAGGATTCAACCTTTGAGTAGTGATTCTCAACATGAAAGCGTCACAGATCAATCTCCTCTTCTTGACGATGAATCCGAAGAAATAGAGATTGAAGATGAGGGAGATATGCAACATGGACATGCTAGTTATTCTTCTTGTGCAGTATGTCAACATAATATATATAATAGCCTTTTTAAAAAAATTATTCAATGTTTATGCCAATGTTTATCCTTCAGGTTTTTTCTTTTCATCATGCCTAAGCTAGATTAATCTTTCCAATACAATTCTTGGTACCGGAATGTTAGCAATGGTAAACACAATTTTATCATAATTTTAACTCGATAATTATTATTATTATTGGATTTAATTCAAATAATTTTGTATTTTATTTTTTTTTTTTTAGCCTGCAGCTATAGCTTCGCTTGGTCTTATATTTGGAAGCATGATGATTTTTTATGCAGCTGCTACTTCTGGTTTAGGACTTTACTTTTTATCTCGTGCCGCTACTCATACTAAAGGACGCAATGCATCTTTTTTCGCAATTTCAAAATTAACTTATCCCAAAGCTGCAACATTTTTTGATTTGGCAATTGCCATAAAATGTTTTGGAGTTTCTATCTCTTATCTTATAATTATTGGTCAATTAATGCCTCAAGTAATTGAATCAATATTTGGTAGTGAACAAAATACAATATTTTTAGATCGTCGATTTTGGATAACTTTATCCATGATTATAATTGTACCTTTGTCATTTCTAAAAAGATTGGATTCATTAAGACATACAAGTTTAATCGCTTTGTTCGCAGTAATTTATTTAATGTTTATAGTTATTTATAATTTCTTGGGACCTGATTATAAAGCGCCACCGAAGGATAAATTACATTTATTTAATTTTACAAAAAAATTTTTGATCAATTTGCCAATTTTTGTATTTTCATTTACTTGTCATCAAAATGTAAGTATTTTTTATTATAATTATTACAATTATTTGCAATTCTATAAAATATATATAAAATATTTAAATATATTCATGTCATTATATAATTTCCATTTCCATTCAGATTTTTTCTGTCCATAATGAACTTGAAGACAATAGCCAAGGCAATATCAATGGTGTAATCGTGGGTTCTATTGGTACAACATCGATTATCTATCAAATAATTGGAATATTAGGATATCTTAGTTTTGGAGATGATGTGTCGGCTAATATTATTGCAATGTGTAAGTCAAGCATATTTAATTTTATTTTTAATATTAAAATTCATTTATTTATTAAATTAAATTTCTAATATCAAATATATATATATATATATATATATTTATTTATATTTAATATATTTAGATAAATCAAGTATCATAGTTACAATAGGTCGTGCTGCCATCGTAATTTTAGTACTTTTTTCTTATGCACTTCAAAGCCATCCTGCTCGGGCTTGTTTAGATAAAGTAATCTCATCACGTTCACACACCGTAATTTCACATGAATTTTCACAAACAAAATACATTCTTTTAACATCTGGGATTTTAATAAGCAGTTATATAATAGGAATGCTTGTATCGGAATTAGATCTTGTAAGTTGTTTGTAATTTTCTCATATTTACTATTATTTATTATTATCCTTTCTTTTTCTAAATCTTTTTTTTTTTATAAATATTCAAAAAAAAAGGTACTTTCGTTTGTTGGTGCAACAGGTTCAACTACAGTTTCATTCATTTTACCTGGACTTTTTTATTATAAACTTCATGAAAATTCTCAATGGGATATTAGAAAAATTTTATCCATATTTTTAGTAATTTATGGATTTTCAGTAATGTTTATATGTTTATCATTAAATATTTTACGAGTTTTAACTAGAGGTTAGAGATTTTTTTATAATAAAAGTTTATAAATAATAATAATAAAAATGAATTAATGAATAAAAAAAATTTATTCTATAATATATTGAATGAATTATACGATTACATATATTTAAGATGTATTGCGTTTACTGTTTTCTGTTTCTTTTTTCTTGTCCAAGTTATCAAGATTTATTTTAATTATACAAATGTATGAATAAATAAATAAATAAATAAATAAATATATATAAATATATATATATATATTTCGAATAGTTACCGAACCAAATAAAAACTTTATGCCTCTATATCATCATCCATCATATTGCCCGCTAAAACAACCTTTTCTCCTGGTGCGAATTTTGGAAAGCCAAGGTATGGACATGTAGAACAACGGAATGCATCACCAAGAAAGCACTATTAATTTAAAAGTAATTTAAAAGAAAGATTTTAAAAGAAATTTCCTTAAAATATAAAAAATTATATATGAAAATCCCTATTACATACATTTCCACAAGAAGAAGTTGGAGCAACAGGCTCAGCAGCTTTTTCTTCATTCTCCAATTCTTCTGCAAGACCGCATGAACAATTCTTACAAGCCTTTCTCTTTCCACTAGTTTCACAATCGGGACCTTAAAGAAAGAAAAGAAAGATAAGATGAAGAAAGCAAATATATTTAAAATATCTATAAAAATATTTATAAAAATATGATATATTTCGTTGTTAACTTACGAATTAAAGTGCTTTTATCAGGTTTGACTAAATCCATTTCATCAAGTAATTCATCTTCATCTTCGAATTCATCATCATCTGTAGAAAGTGTCCAAACTGAAGTTTTTTTCTCCCCATTATTAATATCATTACTATGATTATTGATATTATTTGAAACTTTTTTGGCGAAAGGTAAAGCAAGAGATGTTCCTACTTCATATATAGGTTTTTTTGCTGTTAATTCAACTAAATGTAAATTTTCTTTTAAATATAATAATAAATTTTGTTGCTTAATTTTATCATTAATATTCCACTCTTTTTCTATGATTTTTGCCAATATTTCCTCTTCAATTTTGTTAGAACTAAGAATTTCTATGTCTACCAAACCAGCAAGTTTGAGTTCGCGAGTTAAATCTTGCTTGGTTCGAGTAACCGGCCAAGCATCGTCTGAACGTGCTTCAACGAGAACTGGTTCTTTAAGATAAAATACACCTCCTGGCAATAAAGTTGTAGCTATCTTTACAAGTGATTTGTTGGAATGAACAGAACATAAGGGACCAAGGTGGTTTGAATAGACTGAATTATAAGAGGAAATTGGAAGCGAATCTTTTAAAAAAAAATAAAAATAAAGTTAGGAGGAACATTTAATAAATAAAAATATTAAAATTAGAGGCAAGTATTCTTTATGACACACACCTATTTTATTCAAATCTACAATAGCAGGTTCATTAACAGAGGTTTGCCGACAGAAGTGGTCGATTTGAGCAAGATCAGAATTTGATTTAATTAAAAGAACTTTATTGAAACTCATGATTAAAAATGATAAAGTAATTTATTACCAAATATTTTTTTACATCTAAATTGTAATTATATATGTTTGACCGTTTTGTGTCACGCTTTTATTATGTAAAACACTCGACTAAATTATCTGTCACCTGACCCCAAAACCCATTTCTTACCCTGCGAAAACTCTTTCTTCTAATGACAAATATTGTTACATTTATTTTTTATAATTGTGCTAGTAAGGAAGAACTTTAGTTGAGTGTATTTTCTATGTACTTTATGAATTTTACTTAGAAGCAAAGTTTTATGTCAGTCAATTCTTTAAATCATGCACGAAACGAAAGACAGTTTTTCAATAATCAATAATGGACATAGTATACTTTTATTTTTTGTGATATGAAATTCTCAAGTTGCTTCAACTACTTCTGATCTTTCATCCTCTCCTTTATATTTTTCGATTCCAGTATAAATATCAAATAAAATAGTCCATAAATCAGCCCAGAAAAGTAAAAGTGAAATTGGGTTGACTTGATTTTGCAACGCGTAAAAGATAATATAGAAATCAATCCCACCTATAACATAGATTATTGTTATAGCTCCAATTATTGTTCTATGTAAACCACCAAGACAAAATCCCAGTACCAAATTAATAATTATAATTGTAAGACTAAAGCGAATCTCAGATTTGATCCCAATTACCATAGCATAAATGACTATCGATAACCCCACTAAAAAAGGTATTATGATACACCAAAGAATGTTAGAAAAGGCTGTTAATAGGATTGTAAAAATAAGAATTTCAAATAAAATTAAAAAGATAATTGTGACAATGTTAAAACTTCCTGTCGCATATAAGAATAAAGGTGGAAAAATTGTAAAGATTAATGTGAAGAGTGTTGTGAAGATTATACTGGCTACCATTTTTCTTGATTCATCTCTTGAAATTAGCCATGTTATTATAATAGATGCGATTATTGCCCAATCGAAGGCTGATACAACTATTGTTAACTTGCTGAGACCATCTATCACATATGAGAATAAAGGTGGAAAAATTGAGGACAGCAGGACGGCTAAGATCCGAGCGACAATTGTTGTTATTAATTCATCTTTTGTGAATATGTAAATTAGCTTTATTATTATAATAGATACGATTATTGAACCATTGAGAGCTATAAAAACTATCGTGAACTTGGTGAAGCCTTGTGTCATATAAAAGAATAAAGGAGGAAAAATTAACAATGTGAATATATTCAAGGTTAAAGAGATTATAGTTCTAACCTTTTTCAGTTGAGGTATTGGCGTAAACGTAATTAAAAGAATTGCGGAGACAATTATATAAGGAATATATTTATTTATTTCGAAATTAAACATATCAGAGAGTAGTAATCTTGCTGATACGATAGGAAATAAACAAGTCAAGAAGAACAGAAATTTGGAGATTTTTTTTAACATTGTTTCTTTTAATCAATCATAAAACAAGAGAGAAGTTTTCGAAATTCTCTCAAAAAAGAGAATATATTTATTGTGTAAATCCCTTGACCAAAAAATATTAATTAGACAGAGCGATAAAATTTTTGTTGTCAATGAAAAAATTTTAATAAATAGAATAGGCATAAATTTATGATAACTCATGAGCAAAATGTCTAAATAAGGAAACCAAAAATTATTATAAATTTCCTTTTAGATTTGTCGTTTAAAAAAAAAACATACGCCAGTTTAAATATGCCTGGGCGAAACTAACTAAAAAGTTTCTAGTACCCTCAGTAAAATCTAAAAATCCCCCCAAAAAACGAAATCTATTACCATGATACATATATTTGCATTTATAATTGATATTATTTTCATTAACAACACGCTCTTATTTTTTTTTGAGTAAGGAACGTTACACGATATTTATTCTATAAACGATTTTTTCAATTGTCTCTTTTTGTGAGGATTTCGAAAACTTCTCTTTTGTTTTATAACTGATTAAAAGAATGTTAGAAAAAACCTCCAAATTTCTGTTCTTCTTGACTTGTTTATTTCCTATCGTATCAGCAAGATTACCAATTTCTGATATGTTTAATTTCGAAATAAATAAATATATTCCTTATATAATTGTCTCCGTAATTCTCTTAATTACGTTTATACCAATACCTCAACTAAAAAAGGTTAGAACAATAATCTCTTTAACCTTGAATATATTCACATTGCTAATTTTTCCTCCTTTATTCTTTTATATTAAACATGGTTTCATCAAGTTCACAATAGTTTTAATAGCTCTCAATGGTTCAATAATCGCATAATAAAGTTAATTTACATATTCACAAAAGATGAATTAATAACAACAATTGTCGCTCAAATCTTGACCCTTCTCCTATCTTCAATTTTTCCACCTTTATTCTCATATGCAATAGATGGTCTCAGCAAGTTGACAATAGTTGTATCAGCCTTCGATTGGGCAATAATCGCATCTAATATAATAACATGGTTAATTTAAAGAAATGAATCAAGAGAAATGATAACCTACTGTATATATAACCTTCACAGCACTCTTCACATTAATCTTTATAATTTTTCCACCTTTATTCTTATTGTGACAGAAAGTTTCAACAATGTGACAATTATCTTTTTAATTTTATCTGAAATTTTAATTTTTACAACCGCAGTAACAGTCCTTTGTACTATTTTCTTACCAGATTTTAACTTCATTTATTGTGCAATAATACCTCTTTTAGCGGGGGTTTCGATAGCCATTTATGCTTTGGTAATTGGGATCAAGTTTGGATTTCACATTAGTATAATAGTTCTAGTTATTAATTGTGTAATGGGATGTTTCCTTGGTACGAGGTACAATAATCGGATTTATAATAACAAGCAACATTTTAGGTGGGATTGATTTCTATTTTATCTTTTACGCGTTGCAAATTCAAGCCAATCCAATTTCACTTTTACTTTTCTGTGCAGTTTATGGACTACTTTATTTAATATTTATACTGGCATTGATAAGCGAGGCTGAAGCAGAAGGAGCGGAAGCGGAATTTGACCTTGAGAATTACACACAAAAATAAAAGGTACATTATTATGTTATATTATTACGATCAAATAATCAAATATTATGTCTATTGATTATTGAAAAACTATAAGAAATATTAGCCTAACATTAAATTTGTTTCGTGCATGATTACCAAGGTGACGCTTTTCACTGATTTCTGTCTAATCATGCTTTTTTGAGTTTCTGGAACTGTTTAGCTAGTTTCTTTTGTTTTTGCTCCAGTTTCCCTAGTATCCCTAGTAAAAACTAAAAATCCAAAATAAAAAATAAAAACGAAACCTATTACCCATGATACATATATGTATGCTAAATATATGTACATATATATATGATATATCTAGGCTCACTCACATGATCCTTGTCACAACGAGTGTCGCGTATTAATTGTCATCATTATAAAAACACAAACAAAAATGGTTAAATTGACTTTTGATTTTTATATTGCTAAATTGGGATTGACGCTTTTCACTGATTTCTATTCACACAACTAAAGCTGGTTCAAATGATTCTTTTTGAGTTTCTGGAACTGTTTAGTTAGTTGCTTTTATCTTTTCCTTAGTTTACCTAGTATCCTTAGTAAAAACAAAAATCCTCAAAAAAATCGAAACCTATTGCACTATTGCACACTAGTCAAAATTCTAAAGTGACGAATCATTTGCACACATTAAATTTTAAATCATGTGCGCAGGATTTAAAACACCGCAATTACATATAAACCGGCCTTTCGGTTAATTTTATCAAGTCTGAACTAGGGTCAAGAAAATGTCGATACGTTCTAGTATGGAAATCACAGAAAATAAGTATTCAAAATAAAGCAGATATGCAGTTTGAACTTGTATTACCGAAAATTTCAAAAGAAATCTTAATTTCATAAATATATGCTTATTTTATTAAAATTAGTATAAATGGAGTTATTACAATTATATTTTCATTAATAACACCTCTATCTGATTGTATTTTTTTTAAGCAAGTAATGTTGCACGATATTTATTCTTCACTATAAAAGAATTTTCAATTGTCTCTTTTTGTGAGGATTTCTCTTTTGTTTTATAATTGATTAAAAGAAAAAATGTTAGAAAAAATCTCCAAATTTCTGTTCTTCTTGACTTATTTATTCCCTATCGTATCAGCAAGATTACCAATTTCTGATATGTTTAATTATGAAAAAAAGAAATATATTCCTTATATAATTGTCTCCGTAATTCTCTTAATTGCGTTTACGCCAATATCTCAATTACGAAAGGTTAGAGCAATAATCGCTTTAGCCTTGAATATATTCACATTGATAATTTTTCCACCTCTATTCTTTTATACGACACAAGGCTTCAGCAAGTTGACAATAGTTGTGTTAGCCTTAATTTTGGCAATAACTGCATCTATTTTAATATCTATTATATTAAGATTGTTAATTTCAGATGAATCAAAAAAAAAGATAGCCAGTATAACCTTCGCAGTACTTTTCACATTAATCATTGCAATTTTTCCACCTTTATTCTTATATGCGACAGAAAGTTTTAACAATGTGACAATTACCTTTTTAATTTTATTTGAAATTTTTATTTTTACAACTGCATTAGCAGTCCTTTCTACTTCATCATGTATATTTAAATTTGTAGTGATGTCTTTTTTAATGGGGTCTTTAATGGCCATAATCATTTATGCTATAGTACTTTGGATCAAGTTTTTGGTCAATTCCGGGTTTCACATTAGTATAATAGTTCTAGTTATTAATTGTGTAGTAGGATGTTTCCTTGGTTTTTTACAAGGTACGATAATCGGATTTATAATAACAAGCAACATTTTAGGTGGGATTAATTTCTATTTTGTCTTTTATGCGTTGCAAATTCAAGTCAATCCAATTTCACTTTTACTTTTCTGGGCAGTTTTATGGACTATTTTATTTAATATTTATACTGGCATTGAAAATTATGGGGGCGGGGCTGAAGAAGGGGCAGAAGCGGAATTTGATCTTGAGAACTACATGCAGAAATAAAAATTACATTATTGTGTTATATTATTACGATTAAATAATCAAATATTATGTCTATTGATTATTGAAAAACTATAAGAAATATTAGCCTAACATTAAATTTCGTTTCGTTACCCCATACTTAATCCTACAATAACCTCTAATGCCCGTTTTACACTGCTACAGAATTAATCTTCAATTTCCAGGGTAGACTTTTTTTGAGACTGATGTTCTATTCCATCTCACTCGTGCAGTGAATGCGATTTTTATCAAGATGATTTTAGTTAGAAATTGTTAGAAATTGTATCTGCGTACAAAGAATACAATTATTTTAATTAACGTGTCTACTCAAAGCATAATTAACACAGAAAACTATATTAAATAAATTTGTGCTTTGGATAGATGCCAAGTGAAATGTTATTTCGATACTCAGACCTTGCATTCAAATGATTTATATAAAATAAAGTAAAAATACTGGCAATCAAATGAATCACTTTCTTTATTATCTTTTTCGGAAAGACTCAATACCTATGTCTTGTCTCTTCAGAGCAAACCTCACCCTCAAGCATATCTTCTGAAGAAGCCCCATGAGGGATGCCCTATCAATGAGAGAAATATGTGCACCATGTGCACCATATACTATTGGGTATGTCTCTCCTCATTAGCTAGAATCTGAGTTATCTCACTCTGCCCGAATAATAGATAGTCAGATTATTCTCTCTCTGTAAAAAATGGTGAGTCCTGTTCACAGGTTCTTCTTATTAAAATTAAAAAATTTTTTTATAAACAAGTTTTTTTTGCCTCTTTGCCATTTATTTTCGCTTTTATTTTGTAACATATTACTTTATATACAATAATTTCTGAAAACACACTTGTGAAACTATATAAATTTTCAAATACGATAAATAATTCTTTAAATATTTCGATCATAAACTGTGAACGAGATGTTTTGTTTTCTTAATGAGTGCGAACCGGGATCCTTCGAACAAAAAATAATGATTATCTTAAAAGCCTGAATGCAAGCAGAACAAAGATGCTATTGATAAATATAAAAATTTGTAGCTGTAAAATAGTGCTGTGACGGGTTATTTTTGTTCTGTCTCGCGTATAGTATCCTTAAAAATCTCTATCAGAGATATGGAAATTTCGGAACTATGGTCACGTTTGGGAATGTTAAATTGTAAAAATGCGATCTATTCTAGTAATCCGATTGACAGATATACGCGATTTTTCAAATCATTAAAAAAACGCGTCACTTCCCATTTTATAAAAAACTGTAGGTTCCCTGATTTTTACATATACAGTACATCAACTAATACGCCATGTCTACTTCTTCTACCTCTGAACATGCTAAATATAATAATAACACCCAGAAGCACACATTGGTCGCAATTAACTTATTTTGTACTTGAATAAGCATAAAAAAATAGTTTCGCGGGTTTTTAGCTATTATCGATGTCATACTAAGCTGACTCGGACCGGTTGGATCTTGATAACTCATGGGCTACTTGTTTTTTAAAGTAATTTTGATGCTCTGAAAGATATGATACTTTTTTTTTATTTTGCAAAGCAAGGGTAACTCTTAATCGAGTTGAGGAGCTCTAGTTTTGACTCCCAATTAAGGCACCCTAACTTTGCCACTGTGTCTGAAGGCTATATACCTTCTTTTATTACTAAATAAAAAAGTTTGCGCACATTACTAAGAATCTTCTTTTTTACAACAGGTTAACAAAGAACGTTCGCAACGTGTGAAAGATTTAGAATCCTATTGGAGATATGTGATTAAGGAATGTGAACTGGTGAATAAGTTTGCACGATTCCCACCTTCTCGCATGTATGCTTGAAGCCAGAGAAAATTAAACTGAATTTTTTTTTTTTGCTGATCGTGATGGAAATCTGATCATGAAAGAATGAGTGGGCAAGGAATTAAATCAAAAATTTAATAATGCTTAATAGAGACGAGATATTTTTAAGTATGAAGCTGAGAAGGAACGTCTCCTCCAGGTTGTTTCTGATCTTGATGCAAAAACTGCAACATCAACGAGCCGAACTAGCCTAAAATATAAAATTTTTTTCCTTAATCAGAAACAAATATCATTATATTTCCTTTGTTTACTTCTTATGATCTTGTTTGTGAATAAAAATGATTAAATGAAAGGGACTTTTTCTATTGTACAAAAGATGACGATTCTGAAATACAATTAGAGTTTGATTTGAAGGGAAATTGTATATTCACACTGATTTCTTATACTTCCAAGTTCAATCACTGACTGGATAACAGATAGAATATTTTTTTTTACTATCGTTTTAATAAACAGTCAAAAACAGGTTTAAAAAAAAATTATTATCTGATTAAAGTTTTAATTCTCGAAGATATCTATATATTGATCTCGTGCTTGTTATATATATTTATTTATTTATATTTATAAAGTGGAGAATAAAATTAATATTATTTTGTGTAACTTTGGGAGGATATTTATTATACTTTCGTCGAAACTTCCTTCACCTGAATCTCAATCAATCTTCACAACATATCTTTAAAACTAAACTTTGAACAAAATATACAAGTTCTTTCGAAAACAATGGGTAGAACAGGAATTAACAAAAATAAAATTCAACCAACGAATTCAAGTAATTCTACATTACATTAATACATATTTATAGAATATTTTTTTTTCTAAAAAAAAAAATTTTATGTTTTTTTTTTTTTCCAGTCAATAATGTATCAGCATATCCAATATCCTCACGCTTTAGAACAAATCTAACAGGAAAATATCATCATATCTTTAAACCTGAGAGACACTTTCTTAAAAAGGATAATATGAATTTTAATAAAGATCAAGAATCTAACGATGATCAAGCTCGAATTCATAACAAAAAGTACCAAAAAATAACCATGAAATTTTTAATAACATTTTGTATATAAAAATAATTCATTTTCATTTTCATTTTCATTTCTATGAAATCTTTAAAGCAACGATATTATGGTTTCTCTTGCAGGTGAGTACACTGATTTTTGCATATTAGTCATCACGTGCTGTTTACTTAATAATCTTCAACAATTTTACATGAATTGAATATGAATAGCAATTCTAAAAAAACGCGAAAATCAAACTTCCAAATCAGTTGACAGGGAATTCGAAATAAGCAGTAGTACGATAATTAGTACCCTTTCATCTTACATCGGTAAAGATGATGATATTTCGTAAGTGCGAATACTAAATATATTGTCTATATATATCAATTAATATTTAATATTCAATATTACTTTTTGATCTTTTTGAAGAAATAAAATTGGTTCAGAGTATAAACACAAAATGGATGAACATGCTGAAGATAGACTTAATAATTTAAGAAAACTTCAATTGGGATTTGAAAAATATCAAGTAAAATTTTTTATCTAAAACCTATCATTATTTACAATCGTAATGGAATATTTACTTATATATATATATATATTCACATGATAAAAATTGATAAGTTAGTAAAGACCAATTTACTTGAAGAACTTGATAAAAATTATTCATACATTTTACGAGTACAAAGGGATTTTGAGAAAGACTTAAAGCATATGCGTGAGTATTATTCTTTTATATATAATTATGATAATAATGAAAATAATAAAAATAATAATAAGTAATAATAATAGAAACTAGACATCAAACTGAAATAACAAATTTATACGAGGAAATTGAAAAAAATTCGCAACATCTCTGCAAATGTATGGAGAATGCCGCAAAGGTATTTATAATTTAATATCTAATCAGTCTAATTAATCTAATCAAATCTGATAATCTAAAAAATCTGATTAATCAGGAGACTCGTAGAAGACCACTAATTTCTAAGCAACTAAATTCAGTTTTCCAATTTAATTAAAACTTACGTCATCAAATTCACGTGTAAAGAAAATCCCTTCGCTTGACGCCGAAATCTACTAAATCTACTCAATCTACTGCTGTTGTGTACAAACCACTGTACAATTTACATTCACCTAAAGATCGACATTGATTATTTGTTATAAATGAAGGATACAAATTAGTTCCCAATTTATATTTGATAATCTTTCATAATTGACGTATATGAAAATAACTGGAATTTATTAACGTGACTACTACACTATTTAATGGTAATCCAGTTTTGTGAACCGTGTTCGAAAAATTTATTTCTTTCTTATTATTTCTTTCTTATTATTTCTTTCTTATTATTTCTTTTAAAAAACAAAAATGTCTGCCTTCATTTCTTCTACGTGTACGGGATCTAGTAACCAAGTGTTACCTCTTACAAATCAAGTATTTCAGGATGCTGGTACATGGAATGTATTAGGTGTAAAGCAACAAAGTAATAGAAGAGATAAAAACTCTTTTCGTTCTATTTCAAATTTCGAGAAGGCATGGCAAGAGAATGAAACTGATAGTTTTGATAATTGGAATCAATTTGTTCAACAACAAAATGAAATTAGAAATGAATGGTATACATTTGAACAAGTGAAAGAAGAGGAAGAAGAATTTCGGCAAGAATGGAGTGACGAAAGATTTACTGAAATGTATATTAAACAAAATGGCATGGACCAGTTGAATAATGATAAAAATTCTTTTTCTCAAGAATTTTTAGAAAGTACAACAAATTATAATTCATCTTTTCAACAATTTTCAATTCAAGAATATTCCACATTTACGACAAATACGACAAATACAACATATATTACTCAACACAATGATTTACTTCAAGCTCAACTTTATCTCATTGATCATCTTCTATTTAAAGTAATATCATATTCATTATTATCAACCTGTAGACCTTCACCAAAAGCCGAATGGGATTGGACTAAACTATTTTCTCCATCGAGATGGTGCGAAACAGAAGTTGGTGAAAAAGATAAAATATTACAAGATGAATACCTAAAGAATATGGCGTTAGGGAGATTACAAATATTATTTGGACATCTTGATGTTAAACCTGATAATAAAACAAATGTTAAAGAAAATAAAACAAATTGGGAATGGGAATGGGAACTTCATGGGTCATAATGTACATATATATGTGTGTGTGTGTTAAATATACGTTAAAATATAGCTTTTATGATGATTCTTTGTATTCTAATAGAAATGAAAAAAAAAAATAATAATAATAGATATAAGAAATATTTTAGATTATCAAAAGATCTAATATTAATTATATTCACCTGTTAATTAGCTTAAAATTTCTGTAATAATTCAATTAATTTCAATTAATTTCTCATTAATATCTTGATTTTTCTTGATTATTTCTCGATTATTTCTCGATTTTTTTTTGATTATTTTTCATATTTTCCCAGGTAATATCAGTCAATATTCCACTTAACACCATGAGACCTACCCATTTATTGGTTCTAAATTTTCTATTACAATCAGCTGCATCATTAAGATTAACTGATTGTAATTGCCACGCGAGATGAGATCCTGTACCTAAAATAGAAATTAAATAGAATGGCCAATCTTGACCATTCATATATCCTGATATTGTAAGAAGAGATAGCATTGATCCCGAAAAAAATGTTAAATATTGTTTTGTTTTATCCCCAAATAAGAGTGCAGTTGATTTTACACCAATCACACTATCAAAATCCTTATCCTGTAAATAATAAATTTAATTTAAATTAGAATTTTTATAAAAATCTTCAAAAAAATTTATGAATATCTTACTTGATGAGCGTAAATAGTGTCATATATCAAAGTCCAACATACTCCGGCACAATATAACGGAAAAGTGACTGACCAATCACTATTTCCAATCATTGCTGGCCATCCCAATAAAGCACCCCAATTAATTGCAAGACCTGTTGAATGATTTTTTATTCTTTATCAATATAAGAAGAAATATAAAAAATATAAAAAATATATATGAAAAATAAGGAATCTAAAAAATATATTTATTACCGAGATAAAGTTGTGGCCAAAATGTCACACGTTTCATGAATGGATATATGATTACGATACTTAAAGATGTTGCACCAAGGAAAATACTAGAAACAAATAATTCAAATTTTGTAATTTTTGTCAATAAATTTAAATTATTTAAATTTTTAAAATAAATGAAAATATACCTATAATAATTTAATTGAGTTAAAATTGTTAATCCAGCTGATAATTGTAATCCTAAAAATGTCAACGCTTGAAAAGGAGTAATTACTTCCGAAGCGAGAGGTCTATTCTGAGTACGTTCTACTAATTTATCAATTTTTTTATCCCACATATCATTAATCGTACATCCAGCTCCCCTCATAATGAAAGCTCCAACTCCAAATAATGTCAACATATAAATTGTTTGAGTAATAGGTAAATGTGCTTGATATGTTGCCATCGTAATACTCCAGGCTACCACAGTAAATTTTTATATTTCATCAATTAAAAAAAAACAAAGGTAAATAAATAAGTTTTCTTGACGTACTGCAAGGCAAATATAAAAGCCATGTCCCTATAGGCTTATCTAAACGTGCGAGAAGTGCATATGGTAAAAGCTTTGGTGGAAGATACTTTTCAAGCCAAGAAGAATGTTTTATTATTGATTCTTTGTACTTTTTGTTTAATGATAAATTAGATTCTTTATGGTTTTTGTCTATTGATGAACTATATCGTACTGACTGGGAAATATTAATATTTTGAATATTTTGAAAACATTTTTTTGAAGATAACACGGGAAAACGTGCAAAATATAAATTATATGAATTATAAAAATAATGTGGATAATTTAATTTTCTTTTATTATTATTGAAATAACTAAATAATTTAATTTGGTCATTTCTCAAATTGCAAAAACTCGAAAACAACATTTTTTCACTTCACGATGACTAAAAAAAATCATACAGTTGAAAAATCGTCCACATTATCCACATTGTCACATGATACATGCTTGAATTAGCTTAATTTATTACAAAGAATTATATAGTAATTTTTGTTCAGTAAAAATCAAAACTTTTAGGATCGATCGTTATTTGAGGTTTGTATGGTTTTCGTAGAAGGCTTCGATGTCGTTTTAAAAAATGATTTAAAAAAGTCAAAAAAAAGTCAAAAAAAATAACAGAGAAAAAAAACTTGAAAAAATATTTAAAAATATACAAAATAGGAAAAATAGGAAAAATAGGAAAAATAGGATCTATAAAAAAAAATAAGCCAGCGACATCAAGCAAAAAAAAAAATACTTGTCTTTATAACATTTGGTATGTTTTAATGGGTTTGGGTCTTTTAACACTTTGCCTTTTTGCCATCCTGTTTTTTTTTTATTTCGCCCTACGTTCGCCACGAATGCTTCAACTTCAAGTCATGAGCAAACATCGATGAAGACCAGCAAGCAACTTGTTTTGGTCATATCGCTCTTTGTTCATGGCATTCTTTTTGATTCCTTAAAAATTCTCTCGAGAAATCAAATAATGTGAAATAATATCTAAATCGAAAACCTATATTATATGGGATATTTGATTGGAAGATATCTCCACTTTAATATTTCGAAAATAAAATATCATCCATTATGGCTGAAGAAAATCAAGCTGCCATTACTTCTATTGTTGCCGTTCCAGCCATGGAAGAAACAGCTCATGAACATCAAGAAGAGGGAGAAGATGCCGAAGCGGTAATTATCGTATAGATTTTAGTATTTTGATTTACATATATTATATATATTATGAGATAGTACGTTTCACACCATCTCTTTGGTAAAGGAGCTTGAGGCAATGAAACAGAGGGTAAAAGAAATGGAAGAAGAAGCTGCAAAACTTCGAGAGATGCAAGCCCAAGTAGAAAAAGAAATGAATTTGACTTCAGAAGGTAATTTTATTAGTTGAGAGACTAAGTAATAATGATCAGTAATGGAATATTTCTAATTACATTTTCATATACAGAGGATAAAGAAGCTATTGATGCACGATCCATTTATGTTGGTAATGTAAGTAATTTTAATAATTTTCAGTAATTTCAATAATTTTCAGTAATTTCAATAATTTTCAGTAATTTCAAGTTATGAATTACTCTAAACTTTTTATATATATATCTTCTCTCTCTAAAGGTTGATTACGCTGCTACTCCAGAGGATTTACAAAACCATTTTCAATCTTGTGGTACAATAAATCGAGTAACAATTCTCTGCGACAAGTATAGTGGGCATCCTAAGGGGTAATGAATAATAATAAAAAAAAGATTTGGATATTTTTTATATACAATAAATTTTGTAAACAATGAACTTAATGAAAATATTTATGTTTTGTAGTTACGCTTATGTGGAATTTGCGGATTCTTCTTTAGTAACCAATGCTATGCTATTAGATAATACAGTATTGCGTGGACGTACAATTAAGGTAAGAAAATTTGTGTTTTGTTTTGTTTCGTTGTATAATGAAATATTTATTATGAATTATTATTTTTATTAACAATTCTTATTGTTTTTACTATTATTTTATGAAAATTTTTCAAGGTTACCGCAAAACGTACTAATATTCCCGGATTTGCTAGAGGAAGAGGAGTGAGAGGGGGCCGTGCTAGTTGGCGAGGTGGATTTTATGGTCATGGTGCATATTTTGGTCCAACTTTCCGAGGTGGACGAGCAAGGCAAATATATTTAATACATTTAATAATACATTTATTTTCATTTATTTCATTTATCATGCATTTTATTTATATTTATATTAAATTTTGTGCTTATACAGAGGACGGCGTGCTGCCTCATACGCTCCTTATTAACGAAATTCTTCGATCTAAAATCAATCGTGTAATATTATTTTTTGAGAATCTCCCTTCCTGACTATTACAACTATTGCCAATAATAATGAATAAAAGTTCTTTGTAGCTTGAATTACCTTTTTACACTCATATTTTTTTTATCTCATTATTAGTCTTTTTTTTTTTTTTATAATTGGACATTTCTATTTTTTAAAAAATTTTTTTTTCTATAATTTTTATTTTTGAAAGTATATTCTAATATTTTGTTATTATTTTAGAATATTTTGAATATTTTTTTCTTAAATATTTAAATGTTTTTAAACCAATATTTTTTCTATTTTCATTTATTTTTTCTATTTTCATTTTAACATAGAATTGATATTAATTGATATTATTTAGTATTTACGTTTACAAGTATATCAATTAATAAATAAATAAAAATAATAAAACTAACAAATTAATTTAATTAACATGTCATAAAAGATCTACATAATTTTGATATATACAATGACCTGTAATTTAATTGGTGAATATCGCGTAACGTTTAATTGTTTTTCACGTTGTAATTGTTTAATTTAGCGATCTATAACTTTTTAGGTTAATCTCACCAAGAGGAATTGATTTCATATCGATTAAAAATAAAAAAAAAAGAATAATTCTACAATAATAATTTTTATATTGATAGATTCTTCTCATTGAATGATGATATTTTTATTTATACGGAGCAATATTGACCAAAATATAATGATTAATAAAAAGTTTTTATTATAAAATATGTCAAATAATGTATAGATATATAGATAAAAAAATTCCACCCGAAAAAGAAACTCTTTGGTGAAAAAGGAAATATCTTTGTCGTGACACATTTTCTCCTTGTATTATGTAATCCCAATTTTGCATGTAAAAAAAAGCAATCCCTGGAAAAACACTGGGTATTAAATAAATAAGCAATCACAAATCAAAGAATCGCTATGCCATGGAAAGTGGAGAACTTGTAAAAAGACTTTCCTTATTAGAAGACACTAAGAATTCATTTCTAGCAAGTATTCAACACGCAAAATTAAACGGTTGGATTAACGACGACGACTCAACAGGCGACGACAATATTGAAGTTGGTGAAAAACTAACTCCGGTTGACATGGTCAATGCTGAAGAAAAAATAATCGAACGACAAAGTCTTTCGACTTTAGAGTTTCGAATTCATCATTTAGAAAAATCAATTTTCGGACCTGACTCGGTTTCCTATGAAGCATTAGCTTATGAAAAGTTGAAAGAGCAAGTAACTTTACTTAAACGAGTTGATGAAATTAAGAAAGAATTTAATTCAATCCTTCGTGATGAAACTGATGGATTGAAATCGTATCTCGAGATTTGTAAATATTTTTTTCCTTTATTTTATTCAAAGAAGTTATTTACAAATTTAAGTAAATAATTTATTGATATTTATTATTATTATTATTTTCATAGACGACCAGGTGTCAGACCTCGTGTCCCCTTTTAAAGATTCCGCACTTTCACTAGAAAGAGCTATACTTACACCTGAATCTAAAGCAGAAATTATTTCTTCTTCTTCAGAAGAATTGGAAAAGGTGGCCGAAAGTTTGAAACAAATTGATGAATTGCAAGGAATAATTGACTCGACAGAATTCAAAGGTTGATTTAAATAATTGAATAAATTCAATAAATTCATTGTTATTATTCAAGTTATTTAAGTTATTATTTTTTTTTTCTTTTAATACGATTGATATAAAAAATAGGTCTTGATAAACTTCTTCCTCAAGTTACACCCATTGAAATTAAACATATTGATCAAGTTGCAAAAACCAATGAAGTTTCTGCTCGAGTAACAAATTTATTAGAGAGATATAATGGAATTGTATCCTTTTATTTTGTGGAATTTTTTATATGAATTTGTTGTCCTGATTCTTATTTACGTTTTATTGTCCTTGATTCTTAATTTCCTCTATTTACGTTGTGATTTAGATCAACACACTCTCAGAAATTTTTATTTCTTGGGATCACATTCTCACAGCTTTGGAATCTAATATATCTGCATTAGAACGTGCAAAAGAAAGAGGTTAAAAGATTCCTCGCTTTTTTTTCTTTTTTTTTCGTAAATCTGATTTTTTAAAGAAATTTCATGAATGATTACTCATTCATTGAATTAATTGACTTATCACTTTTAAAGAATTACCATCTGGAAATTAATTTATTAATTTAATTTAATTGTGGTTGGTTAATTAATTTGTATATTGGATTATTTAATATTTACAGATTTGATTTATTTATTATTTTTATATTCTTATTTCTTATGCGAAATATTGTTTACATATATCTTTACACATTTTTTATTATTCTACTATTTTAATGCCTTTAATGCCTTCGTGCATTGTATTAGTAATATATATATCTTTTTAGAAATTTGCAAAAATGAATTAATAAAAATTTTATAATAAAGCAAGCACGAATAAAAAAAAAATTACTTCTAAAAAGGAAATTATTGACTTTCCTAGTGGTAACAAATAACAGAGATGATTCATACAATCATTATTAAGAATTACTTGTGAAACTCTACTAATTTAATCAAATTCGCGTCATTTGGATGTCTCTGTGCAATTCCAGCGCGAATTAACGTTCCAACATAAGGTTTCCATACTCGATCAATGTCGACTCGAATATAAGGAGCATCAGAAAATGCTCGATTCATTAAATCCTTTATTATACATAATTCCAATGAAGTTTGAGTTCCTTATATGAATAAAATCTAATAGACACACACAAGTTTTTTATCATTACTTACTTCTAATATCGTTTTTAGAGACGAAGTTCTTTGTTCGTTATTATCATCTACCATCTTTGATTTCAAATTAATTAATAAAATTCACTTATTCATTAACCATATATAAAGATATGTTTTACGTACTGTTTTATTCTCAAAATTATGCTCAATAAATTTAAATAATTCCTCATTTAATTCATCAAATATTTCTTGAACTTTTTGGAATTTTTCATGTAAATTTCTAAATTTATGAATATAAGAATATAAATTAAATTTTATTGAATTGGAAATTATTGATATATCGAAAATATATAATATAAATTTTCATACTCAAATCTGGGATCATGTGAAATATGTTCATTAGAAAGTTCAAGTTTTTCTGATAAAGTTTTATTAATAATATCGAATTCATTCAATATTTCTTTTTCTCTGTTAATAATAAAGGATTACTTTTATATTATTGCCATGAAAGTATTCTATATAAATTTTATATATCGAATATGATTTCTTATAATATTCACAAAAAAAATTTCACAAACCGTGCGATTTGTTCTTTCATATCTTGAATCTCCTGATTTAATTGTGGCAATGCTTTTTTATATTGCTCCACCGTTTCAGAAATATGATCTTTTACTGAAATTTCATTAAGCACGCGATTTCTTGTTTCCACAGTCTGTCGCTCTAAAAAAAACCAAGAAAAATTATCGAAAACGCGTAAAAAATCAGTAGAAAATTTAGAAATAATTGAGAATTTACTTCTTTTTTGTTCTTCGATTTCTTGATCCAATAATCGTTCTTCTGCTATCAATGATAAAATTTTCTAAATTCCGAAATAATTAGAATGAGATATTACTGAATTATGTAAATTTTGTGAAGAATAAATATATATATTATCAAAATGAATTTTTTTTTTTCATGCCTTTTCATCTTCCTCTATTTCTGGTTTTTGTTGTTGGAAATATTCCTTTAGGGAATTTAACTTTTTTTTTTATTTTTTAATATAAATTTAAAATTATAATAATTTTATTAAATGAACATTTGGTTTACAAGTTGATTTTTTTGAGAATATTATGTTAAAATATAAAATATTTCAATTTTATTTTTTTTTTTTATTTTTTACTTTATTAATTTTTTCATTTTCTTGTTCACATTGAAGTTGTAATGTTTGTAAAATTTTAGAATAATCAGTTTCATTAACATCACAGCATATTTCTTGCAAATATCTTTTTGAATTTCGTTCTAACGGGTTAAGATTATTTAGTAAATCTGAAAGAGAAAGTTCTTCTGAATTCATTACATTCATTATTGTTTTTCGTATAATGACGCGTTGTATAAATTTTTTTGGGGTTGATATCACCATAATATTTTATTTCGTGTGACGGAAAGATTTTTTCCAATTGGCTTATAATTTTTACTTAAATAACCTTTTTTTCTTTTCCACTTATCATTTTAAACCTCGAAGTAACGATATTAAATCATAATAATTATCTTTTTCCATTTCGCTTCGCGAAAAATTGAAAATCAGTTTTCTTGTGGATAATAATATTTAATTAAGATTTTGTCAATATTTGTTTGTTTGTTTTTTCTTTAACTTTTTCCCATACCTTTGACATAAGCATCATGCGTAACACGAGTGCCCGTGAGCATACTGTGTTAGTGCAATGAGATACGAAGAGTGACACTGATATCTTGCAGTATAACGAATCCCGAGCATATCGGTACAATCACCCGACTTTCTTTTGACAGATTTAAAGAGTCTTGGCTGACAGAATTAGTTTGCTGCAAGGTATCTTTGTTGCGTGAATTTATGCCTTCATGAGTGCCAAGGTATTTTCTGTTCTGCACTGTCAGTATCGAGTGCCAGGCGGGAGTCGGAAATTGAATATATATAATTTCCTGTCTCATCGCTGCCTCTGCATTTGCCAGTGACAAAGTGTTATGCAAATTTCCCTGGACCGGAATTGTTGGAGTTGTCGTTGCCAAGTATTTCAAGATTTGAACAAACTGAAAAAGGGCAAGTCAAGATTATTTCAAAAAAAAAAGATTTGATTCTTTATTTTTATTTACAATAAATTTTTATCCATTATTTAAAGAAATACATGTATTAAATACTTAGTTTATAAAAATAATAAAAAACATATTAATATTCAGAAAAGTTGCGTATGTAATGCTTTATAGTTTAGATTTAGTTTTTTCTGAATCAAACAGAATTTCACAAATATGTTTCCTTTGAATCTTTCCAGTAGCCGTTTTTGGAATTGCTTCAATAAAATAAAATTTTTTGGGAATTTTAAATTTCGATAATTTCTTTTCACAAAATGATTTAAGATCTTTTTCAGTTATATTTTGTTGTAGTTGTTGTTGTTTTAATACAATTGCTGCATGAACTTCTTGACCATAAATCTTATCCGGAACTGCAAAAGATACAGCCTCCGAAATGATAGGATGTGATAATAGAACTGAATCAATTTCTAATGGAGAAATTTTTTCACCTCCTCGATTTATAAGTTCTTTAATACGACCAGTTAAAAATAAATAACCTTCATTATCAAATTTACCCTGATCCCCAGTTCTAAACCAACCATCACTAGTGAATGATGAAGCATTAGCAGAAGGATTATTAAGATAACCCAAAGTAACATTTTCTCCTTTAATGCATACTTCCCCTTCTTTCGTGGGTTTACCATTTTCATCGAGAATGGTAATTTGAACACCTTGAGGAATTCCTACTGACCCAGGTTTATGTTTTAAAGGTGGTAAAGGATTAGAAGTCATTTGATGAGAAGCTTCTGTCATAGCATAAGCTTCAAGAACAGGAACATGGAATATTTGTTCAAGTTTAAATAAAGTGCTAGGAGCAAGTGAAGAAGAACATGAACGAATAAACCTAAGTTTTGGTACACCTTGAGAAGGAAAGGGATGAAGTAAAAGGATTTGATGGATAGTTGGTACTAAGAAGTTTAATTATTATAATAGTTAGTCTTTTTATTATTATTATTATTATTATTATTTTTAGTTTCAAGTATAAAAATTTCTTACCAGCAGTGTACCAAGTACAATTATAATCTAAAAAATCATTCCAAAATTTTTTTGCAGAAAATTTTTCAGGAATAACAACAATTCCTCCAGAAAGTAATGTTGAAAGAGTTCCACCAATTAATCCATGAACATGAAACAAAGGCATTACTAATAAAGTACAATCATTAGAATTTAATTGATATGTTTTTATTATATTCTTCATGGTTGTAGTAATATTTTTGTGTGTAAGTGGAACACCTGAATTTTTCAAAATTTTTTTCATTAAAAAATATTTTTATTATTAATAATATTTTATTATTAAAAATAACTCTAATAAAATTCTAAAAAATTGTTAACCTTTAGGTCTTCCGGTAGTTCCTGATGTATGTAACAAAAGAGCAACATCATTTGGATTCACTTTTTGTTCTTCAATCATTTCCCTTTGAATATCGATTTTATTATTATTATTATTATTATTATCATCACTTGGAATTTCTAATTTTATTTCCTTGCGTAAATGATCCCATTTAATTTCTATAATTACCATATTAAATTTTTTGGATGCTTTAATAGCTGCTTTGTTTTGTTGTGACCAACCACTTGGTACAACGACTACTTTACTTTTTGAATCATCAAAATAAAATTTAAATTCATTCTCTGTATAATTAGGATTTAAAGGTGCCGCAATATTACGTAACAAAGTAGTAGCTAGAAATGAAATAATGAATTCTAAAGAATTAGGTAAAATAATGCTTATAACATCTTGAACTTGTAAATCACATAAATCAATTATTCGTCTTTGAAATAATCGAATTTGATCAAATAATTCAAGATAAGAAAGTATTGTTCCATCTTCAGGAATAATTATGGCTTTAGATGAAAAGTTTTGTGAAGAAAAAATTGAAGATAGAGTTGACATGATCGATCAAAATTAGGAAAATCACATGAAAAATCTTATTTTTATAATAATAAAATAAAATATTTTGTTAATAAATTTCATATTATTAAAAAATTATGTGGGGTAAAGAATGTTCGAATTTGTTTTTACGAAATTTGCGAGGAAACAGATATTTGTATAATGCCGCTAATTCAACGATAAAGGTAACCTCTTAGATAATACATTCGAAAACTAATAGTCATTGATTTAGTTAAATGTTTAAATTTCTTATCAGCCGAATTACAATAATTACAATAATTACAATGACGAACAAATTATAAGACTTAAAGGTTGGTATAATTTATTTATTTATCAAATAGCAAAGCAAACGTTTTTTTTTTTTTTTTACAATTATTATATTTTATTATTATTTTATTATTATTATATTAGCTGTCAATCCTTTGCAAAAACAAATAGAAGCTTTTTATTATGATTTCAAAACAAATACGCCTTTAGGGATAAAAGAATTAGATCGACAAGTTTTTGGTACAGCTATAAGAACTGATATAATGCAAAGGGTTGTAGTTTGGCAACGTGATGCTTTACGACAAGGAACTCATAAAACTAAAAATCGAGCCGAAGTAAGTGGGACTGGTAGGAAATATGCACCTCAAAAGGGTAGAGGTCGAGCAAGAGTTGGTAGTCACCGTGCACCTCATTGGAGGGGAGGTGAGTTTATAAGAAATTTCAATATTATTGAATAACTGCGGGTTATTGTGAATAAATTTCACATAATTAGAAATTTATAAAATTTATAAAATTTATAAAATCTAAAAAATTCAAATTAATGCTTAAAGGTGGTGTCGCTCATGGTCCTAGACCTCGATCACATGCCACAGAAATTCCACGTCAAGTCCAACTTTTAGGACTTCGATCCGCGCTCTCTACGAAATATTCACAAAATCAACTGCTACTTGTTGAAAATTTTAATTTAGAAACACCCAAAACAAAACATTTGTTGGAAATTTTAGACAGAAATTCATGGGATCCTTTGGCTAAAGAAAGAGTTCAAGGTCATTCAATATTATTTTTGGGTAAAGAGCATATGAAAAATTTAGATTTTGCTTGTAGAAATTTACAGAGAGTTCACGCTCTAACTTCAGAAGAAATTTATGAGGGTGGAGATGTTTATAATATCATGGGACATGAAATATTAATGATGGATTTGGAAGCCATTGAAGTAATGGAACAATTATTAAAATATAAATAATGATTATTAAAATTTATTCAAAGTATTAAATGTAAATACGACTTATTATTTAATTTCGCTAGTTTGTTTAACTAATAATAAATAAAGAAAAATATATCAATCCAATTATAATGATTCAAATGATCAAAGAATGTTAACAAAATCATTCCCATTACGTAGTGTATAAATTATTTTCATGAATATACTTGATTACCGAATTAGGAAGTAAGTATTTTACAGACATTCCACGTTTAATGAATAAGCTATAGAAGGTAAGAACAATAGTCAAAGATTAATATTTTCGTCATGAAGTGACAAAAAAAAAACTTCTTTTTGAACATACCGAACTTTGGTTGAACTTATATCATTATATATAAGTTGTTTAATCACATAGACATTTTTCTAAATAAAGTAAAAATATTTTTATTATTATTAGCAAAATGAAAAGGAAAAAAAAATTTTTGATTTAAAATATATTTAAAAATGTACCCTATGCTGATAAAGTATATCATGAGACAGTAGAAATCCAAAAACGTCTGCACCAGTTCTTTCCACTATAAGGACACCGTAATCGCCTAAAATGTGATGAAGCTAAAGTACAAAATGTAAACAAAATGTAGAAAAAATTACGAACGATTACAGGTGAAGAATATATTTAATGTATAGTTGGGTCTCTCTATAATCACACATTAAATTTGGTGATATAGCGATTTTTTTACATAGCTTTAATATTAATTGGTTCTCACAAAAAGTGTGATTATATACAGATTGTGATTATAAAAAGTGTGATTATAGAGAGACTTGACTGTATTTGATAAATGATTCTTACGTCATCATCCAACCAAAGCCTTGGAATTTTGAACGATTCGATTAAATCCCCACCAGCTAAAAGTATAACCTTAATCTTTCGTTTTTTGCCTTTAAATTAAAAATGATGAAATAAATAAATCAATCAATAAAGAGAGAGGGAGAGAGAGGAAAAGAGAAAGAGAGAAAATATGAAATTTACCATCAGAAGTCATAACACCTCCACGATTATCGTTCAATTCTTTGTTAAAATGATCCATGACTATAGCAGTTCTGGTGTATTCTTCTTTTAAACTTTCCCAAGCATCGACCATTAACCATTGAGAAGTTCTCTCCACCGCAAGTTCACACATTCGAACCCTATGATGAGAAGGTGCAAGTCCTTCCTTGGTATAATCATCGGATACCGGAGAATAATAACCACCCATGATTTCAAAATTTGTATCTAATATATAATCCTTAGCCATTTCTATAAAATTTTAAACATTTTAATAAAAAAAAAAAAGTTTTCTTCACAAAATCACTACAAAAAAAAACAAAAAAAAAAATACAAAATTACCAAATATACGTAAATGTAAGTATGTTATTGGCGAAAAGGAACCACATGCGACAATAACTACGGGTTCTTTTTTATCATCTGCGGATTTTGATTGAGGCGTTCATTATTCAAAAAAATAGAATTTTGATGTTTTAATTCTTGACCATTTCAATTTTCACGTAATTCCTGTTATGAAAAAGAAAACGTCAAACGAACAAAACGAAGAGAATTGATATTAAGTTCTAAAAAACCATCGCGACTATTATTTGTGAAAAAATAGGTTTCGACATTTTCACGCGTTTTGGAACTTTGGAAATGGCCATAACTAAATTTATTAAATTTTATTACGCGTACAAAAAAACCATTCACAATTAGATATATTTAAAAAAAAAAAAATTCTTACCCTCAAGACGAGTTTTAAGCTTATGTACGGGAAAAAAGTAATCTTCCATTTTTGAAGGTTGTAGTTTAACAATAGGATCGTCCAACTCTTCTAATTCGGTGGTAGTTGGGGATGGTAATACATCTTCTTCCAAAGTTTTAGGAGGATGTTCCATAATGAAATTATTTGAATTTCACGGAGAACAATTTAAACAAATTATTCCTTTTTGATAATGATTGGTTATTTATTTAATTATATTATATATATTAAGATTTTTTTGATCAGATGTTTAATTCAATTTATCTGACTATGACGAAAAATGTCATCTATTACTAAAACTACTGCTGCCACTGAGACTTTTAAGAAAATTAGATCTCATGATAAACACAGCACTAGTTATATTTCACGTTCTTTTATTGCGGGCGGTGTGGCAGGGAGTTTGGTACGGTTTTTATGAAAGCTACGCTTTCTTTTGATATTGGTTAATTTGGCTGAACGACTTACTTTAGGCCAAAACCGTGATCGCACCTCTTGACAGGGTTAAAATATTGTTTCAAACGAGTAGTCCACAATTTCAACAATATGCAGGTAGAATATACTTTTGTCAGAGTTATGCAGCATTAACAATTTTGGTGTGTAAAAAAAAAAAAAAAAAAAAAAAAAAAAAATTGACAAATGTTTTAGAAGGGTTTTTTTTTCAAACAATTTTTATCTTTTTCTTTAAGAAATTTATATAATTCTTTCTTTTTATTAGGATCATGGGCTGGTTTGGTTCAAGCTACTCAAAAAATTTATAATGATAATGGACCTAGAGGTTTATTTCAAGGTCATTCCGCTACTCTGATTAGAATTTTTCCATATGCTGCAATTAAATTTGTTGCATATGAACAAATTCGTCATGTAAGAACAATCAAAATATTATAATTTTAAAAATTATTTTAAAAAAATCATTTTAAAAAAAAATATCGTAATTTTAAGATGAATACTTTTTTTTTAACAGATATTAATGCCGACGAGGCAAGACACGACATCATTTAAAGTTTTGGCATCTGGCTCGTTAGCTGGTAATTATTATAATTATTACAATTATTACAATTATCATTATTATTATTATTACGAATATAAGATTATCTTGTTATTTTTCTTAAAATTGTTTGAAAATTCTTAACATTTGACAATTCATATTCAAAGGAATTACTTCAGTACTTTGTACTTATCCCCTTGAACTTATACGAGTTAGACTTGCTTTTGAAGTTGGTAAAGATTCACCTGTTGGATTAAGGTCGATATGTCAAAAAATATATCACGAAAGTGCAGCATCATTACGTTATGAATATTTTCATTTTCCATTAATGAATTTTTATCGAGGATTATTTCCAACTATTATGGGTATGATTCCTTACGCTGGAGTATCATTTTGGACTCATCATATCCTTACGGAATTTTGTAGAAATTCATTATTTGAACATACTACCAAACCTTCGTTAGTTATTGGTAAATTGGATAGTAGTGGACAAGAAATGAGACCACCATTGAAAGCACGGATTGAATTAATAGTAGGTGGATTGGCAGGTGCAATTGCACAGACAACATCTTATCCATTCGAAGTGATTCGACGTAGAATGCAAGTTTATGGAGCATATGATCCTTCAAAATTTGTTGGTATTTGGCAAACAGCAAAAACAATTTGGAATACGAATGGGTTTAAAGGATTTTATGTGGGATTAACCATTGGATATATAAAAGTTATACCTATGGTGGCAGTTTCTTTTACAGTTTATAATAGGATGAAATTATTATTAAACATTGAATGAATTCCATTTCGAAGGACTTTTTTTAATCGATTAATTTAATACCTTCATAAATAGTATATTAATATTTTTATAATGATAATTTATTTAATATAAATATATTAATAATATTATTAAATTTTATATAATTTATATAATTATAATTTATAATTATTGAATATATATAATTAGACTTTTACATAATGTAATCTTATAATCTCATTGTAATTATAAAAATACAAAAAAAAAATGAATCAAATTTTATATATATTTATTTATAAAAATACAATATGTCACATATTTAATTTGTTATAAGAAATCAATCACATTTTCGTTAGGTTACTCCGTTTTTTAAAAAAATCAGGTTTCCTCTTTTTTCCTTTTGAACAAAGTTACCAATTCCTCATAAAGTGTCCAACCAATTGCAGCTTGCATTACTTTTCTGCCTAAACGAAGGCTTAACCCATCAAAAAAACCCCAAAATCCTTCATCCTAATTAACGATCATAAAGATTACAGGGTGATAGATGTTATTAAAAAAAAAAAAAAAAGTATAAAAAATGTTAAAATTTTAAAATGTTACTTACACGTAATACTTTAAGTGCACCACGAAAGAAATTTGGATATTCACGAGGTTTTAATTGTATGCGTGTTTTTAACTTATCAAATGGGTGTGTCACGGTAGTAGCAGAAAATCCAGCAATCATTGCTAATTCAAAAGAAACAAAAAAAAAAAAATCAATTAAAACGACGCTATAGTTAAGATACATATCGCGTATTACTTCATCTCAATTTTTAATGAATAATTTACCAGAAGTCATATGTACAATTGGTGCAGAAATTGAAGTTCTGTCTAATGAAATTATAAAGTAATTTTAGGGTAATTGAAGCAAAAAAAAATATATATATATATATTTTTTTCATATAAAAATTTAAAAATTTAAAAATTTACCAGAAATTAATAACTTGAAACGCTCATAAAAAAGTAAATATGTTCCAGCATAAGGTGCATCTCTTATGACAGTTGCTCCATATCCATAATATAATCCTAATATAAATGAAATTTTATTATTATTTTCATCTTTTGTCTTTACAAAAAATAATGATATAAGAAATAACATTTTTTTTTATACCTTTTATTCCTTCACATTTAACAATTGTAGTTAAAGCATTCCAAATACTCTTATAATTATAAAGATTACTCTATCAAGTTATTAAAAAGCGATTAAAAGGGGATTAAAAGGGAATTAAAACGGAATTAAAAAGGAGGGTTAAAAAAAATCAATAGACATATTGAGTAATTTAGATAATTTACCTCATATCTAACTTTGACAACAGTGATCGGCATCATAATAAATCCAACTGATCCTCTGGCTATTGCACCAGCTACCAAATTTTCCTTATTTGATAAAATTGGTAAAGATGAACCAGGGGATATTAACGTTGTTTGATGTCGTCTCGAAAAGAAAGAACGAATTTCGGATAATGTGAAAAAATATAATGAAGTACCCGGAACGTTACTATAATTATTTTTTTTTATACCAAATATAATATAATCAATGTATCAAATATAATGTTAATATATCTTTTAGTGAACTAAAGTGAAAAATGGAATGAATAAAATTGTAAATTACCGTAGAATTGTTGGAATTGTTCCTCGCCATAATCCAAATATCGTTTCTTTACCAATGACTTCTTTTGTAATTCCAATAATAGTGCTACATATATATATATATATAATACAGTGGCTACTTTTCATTCACCTTCCAGAATATATTTCTCTAAGAAATAATACTGCAAGATTTGACAAGAATTTGATTTTTTCTTTCTTTTGTTTAATTGCATTACATTGGGTAGAATATCTACCTATTAGCTGGAGATATTTTTGATCCCTCCAATAACTTTAATTGATATCTTTGTTGCTGTAAGCGCGTCTTAATAAGATCAAACGGTTGTAATATAATGCATGAAGCCAAACCTGACATCGCCCCCGATGTAAGGTGTGTTAAAGCATCCGATTTAACCATTTGTTCTCAAAGATCTAACGATAAAAAATTATTTATTGGATTTTCAAAAAAAGCCGGCAAATTTTTCGGGACCAATTTTTATTCGTAATTTTGAATAATAATAATAATAATAATAATAATAATAATTGTAATAATAATAATAATAATAATAATAATTGTAATAATAATAATAATTGTAGTAATAATAATATATGTAATAAAAAATATACCTTCTTTAAAACCATGAATAATGTTCGTTTTTTCGTTTATTTTTTTTTTATTTAAAAGAATTTCGAAAGAAAATGCGATGCGATAAAATGTGAAAATGTGTACATATTCAGAATTTTGGTTTGTTATATAACAATCAATGACTTATGCAAATGGAAAAAAAAAATATTACAAGAAATGCGGAAACCATCATTTTGTAAAATCATTTACCAAATTTCAGGTTGTTTTTCAAAGAAATATTCTTGCATAAAATATATAATAATAATATGTACATTTTTTTTTGGTGAGGTTCCTTTTTTTTTTTTTTTGTTTTTGTTTTTTTTTTTTCTATAATTTACATTCCAATAATTTTTCTATCCCATCTCTTCCTTTCTAGAACTTCAACCGGTAAATTGGCAAATCCTCGTGAGCAATATCTTCGTTGTTGTTCCATATGCTCCTTCCACTTAATATTTTTATGTTGTTCTTCGGAACGAATGAAAGAACCAATTCCCATGAATAAAGCAAAAGAACCTGCGGAAGTTACCATGAATTGGCCAAGGGTAGAAATGTAACCGCGAGGACCTGGTCCATATCTTTAATAAATTATTTAAATAATAATAATAATAATAATAATGATAATAAATAAAATAGAAAATAATAAATGTAAACAAACATTAAAAATAATTAAACAAAAAAGGCAGGGTGGAGGTTTATGGTTTACCCACCTAATGAGTTGATATGTTCCAAGCACAAGACCAAGGCATACACCAACAGCACTACCCATTATAACACCTCTTTTCATATGTTCTACACGTGAGGGTTGTGAAGGATGTTCCATTTTTTAATTTTTATTTCTTTTATTTTTTCTTTTTTTTTTTTTTTTATATAGATATAGATATGTAATTCAAAAATAATAATAAATAAAAAAATATAATAATTAATATTCGAGTATATAAAGCAAAATGAAAACTCTTTAAAAAAATTACGAAATTCGTTTTCTTACTTTTTCAGACAATTTTTAAAAAAGAACAACAATTCACATAAAAGAAACCAGAGTCATAAATAATTTTCGTGGCGGGTTAAAAATAAAAAAAATTTCATCACCCTGGGAATATTTTCGATTGAATAATTTTAAAGTTGCATATTAATCATGTGATGACACGACAATAAAACGCTAAACTATACTTGGGAATAATAATATCTAATTATTAATCTATTGTAAGTACACAATACAATTAGTTTTTTTTGTTTTGGAAATAAATATTTTTCTTTGACTAACACAATACCAGTATTCATTTATTAGTTTAATAAGTTAAATTTTGGTAATTTTTGAAAGCTAAAAATGTCACGCCATCGTACGATTCGAAATATGAAAGTTGAAGGTAATCTTTAAAATTTAATTCTTTAATTTTTTTTTTTTTAATTTGGTTTTAAATTAATTTAATTTAATATTTAATTTTAATTTTGAATTATTTGAATTATTTGAATTATTTGAATTTCTTTGTTTATTTAATTTTATAAATTTCATTTCAGATGTTTTTGATGAATATTATGGTGATGAAAATGGAAATGATGATGGTTTGAACAAATCTTTGTAAATGATAATCCTTTTTTCAGAAAATTACTAAAATTAATTTGTAAAATCAAATAAAAAATCATTAGATGATGAATATTTCATGACAGAAGTACAAAAAGGTAGATGTAATTGATTAATTAAATAAAATATTTAATATTGGTTAAAAAAAGTTATTTTATTTTTTTAATTAATTAATGATTATTTTATTAATAAATAAATGATAGTTCAAATGAAAGAAGGAATGAAAAAAGTTAAATCAATAATTGGTCAAATAGATAATATAAATGATGAAGAAATAGAAAATACTTTATGGAATTATTATTTTGATGTTGAGAAAACTATTTCTTTGTTACTGGGTAAAAAAAAATTTTTTTTTTTGACTTTTGATTTTAATAATATTTAAAATAATATTATGATATATTTATAATATTACTTTATTGTTTCAAAGTTCATACATATATATATAAAATATCAAATAATGAAGTATAATTTTATAGACAAAGTTCATAAATCTCAGGTACGAAAACAAAATAATTTACAAAAGAAAACGAATTCTTCAAATGAATCTACCAACACCATAACTAAAAGTAATAAAGCAAATAAAAATAATAATAAAGGTGATTTATTTATTATCCGATTCTTTTTTTTTTTTGATTTCATCATTCATTTCATTTCATCATTCATATTATTATTATTATTATTATTATGTCAAGTGAATGATGAATTTTTTTTTTGTCAATGGATGGCAATTTTTTTAATAGATAAATAATAAGATATAAATTAGATAAAATTAGTTTTTTGTTTCGGAATTAAATTAACCGAGAATCTCTTACTCGGTTTTGGTATTTCTCTTAAAAAAATCAACAGATCCAAGAATTAATAATCTTTCATTGGATGATGAAGGGTCTCTTCGTTCTATAATCTCTAATATCTCTAATGTTAATACTACTGCAATCGATTATCATTCGAAAATCAAGTGTGATAAGATTATTTTGATTAATCATAATAATAACAACAACAACAAT